GAATTTGACTCCTCCTCCACTCCTTTCCTCCCCCTCTTCCTGCTCTCTGTCTTGCCTCCATCACTCTCTCTCTTCTTGTCCTCCCGTCTTTCTTTCAAATGTCAGCGAGGAACCGGAGGGAAAAGTGTGCATGTATGTGACCAGTCATAGTCATGTTGAAAATCCAACATGTTAAGAGGCACCAATACCGACCTCTCCTGCGTTACTGCTCAACTGACATTCATTTACGGTTCTCCTCTTCCCCCCAGATGAAGTGACGGTGGGATGGAGTGATGAAGAAGAAGGAGAGAGGTGCCAAGAGAGGGAACCATCTGACGGCAAAAGCTCCAACAAGCTGCCTAATTGGGCACAAGAGGCAAAAAAGAACTTTGGTGGCGAAACACTTCAAAACACTTTCTAATACCGTGTAAACACATCCAGGAGGGGAGCATACCAGCGTGTGAGTAGTTATGCACACTCGTACAGAGACGCGTGTTTTCACGAATGCAGAACAGAGGCACAGAATGATGGAGTCATCTAGTTGAACACAGCAACTACTTTAGGAAACACAAAAAGCTGCACAAACCTCAGGCCTGTTGACGAAGGGCAGAGTGTTACGATGCAGTGAGTTGGGGGATTTGTGTCTTCCAGTAACACGTGTATTAGCCTCCCAGCACATACACCGGCACACAGAGAGACACACTGACTTAATATAAGAGGAGTCCCTCAGAACTCAATGCATTATTTAACAGCCGGACAAGGATAGCCTCCAGAGCGAGGGCGTGTGTGTGTGTGTGTGTGTGTGTGTGTGTGTGTGTGTGTGTGTGTGTGTGTGTGCGTGTGTGTGACTCTCCTTTCCCATCTATAAATACACCTGCATCTGAGAATTCTCGTCCGTCTCTCCCTCTTCACTGGAACTTTTGAACTATACAGCGTTTTATCCAACGTTTTAAATATTTTCCAACTTCCATCTAAATGTCACCTAGCATAAAAGCAGAATTCTGTATCATGGGACATTATGGGGAGAGAGAGAGTGAGTCTGGGTTACTGACTGCTGTTTCTTATTCAAAACCAGTCAAATGAAAATCAAAATGGTTTTCTCACATGTGGAGAGAGGTGATTTTACCTGTGCCTACCTGTGAAACGGCCTCACAAATGATTGAGCGGCTTAAAGAGGAAACCCCATCAATGTCATGTTTCTACTGCGGAATGAACAGTTCGCACCAGCGTCGGGACGTCACTGTGGCAGTGATCGTAGATCACTCAGCCTGTGGATATGCGGTTGATCTGAAATATCGTGACACTCCATATTATCAAACTCATCCTTTCACGCCACTGAAAACCCAACTCAACAAAAACTGACCACACGGGCCGTCCTCTTTCCATCCCCCACACCCATTCTCACCGTTGTCTTCGGGGACCAGGTCAAATAAGACCGTAAGAAGCGCACCGCATTCAGGGAAAGGTAAAGAAATATACATTTTCCCTCTGGTCCTCTCGCTCACGTTGTCAGACACACAATCGGAGCCCTTCGCTGGCAACCACAAGCACTTTGGGTGGACTTACATTGACGATGAGAAATATGAAATGGGTAAAATATAATATATTCCGGGTATTTCTGGGCAGCGTTTGAGCCCCACATGAGTGTACTGCTGAGCCAAAAACAGCAGGGCGCCCAGCTATTTCAGTCGGTCAAATACTGCCACTTTGTCACACCCCTTGATATTTGATACCGAGACACAAGTATTACATCCGTGGTCACAGGGTCCATTTTCAGCTCCGTCAGATGTAAAGGGGCCGTATTTTACGGATGAGAAGGAGTTGTTACATCGCTGTCTGTTACTTCGTGGATGTTTTCCGGTGTTTCCCACGCTGCTCTTCTTTTCCGCAGTGTGCAGAATGCTGCTAGAAGTGTCTTCAATTGACTGACAGTAGTGATGAGCCACACACAGCTGCATATATTCAGAATTTCTGATTTACTGCTTTGTTTTTGTTAACTCGACCCTGGGTCCCTGGGACCTCTCTCCATCAAAGTGCCAAAAGTGTAATTTTGTCTGGGTGAGATACAAGGCTTTGTACCTCCAGACTTGCTCCTTGTATATGGTCAGTATCTTTGTCCCAATGTTCAAAAATACCTAGGAAAAATATTAGCATAGAACTGAAGATTTAAATGGTTTAAAGGTTTGAAAAGAATAACATTATTACATTACATTACATGTCATTTAGCGGACGCTTTTATCCAAAGCGACGTGCAATAAGTGCATTCAACCATAGGGTACAAACTCAGGAGAACAAGAAACAAGAAAGTGCAATTTCCTCAAATAAGCCAATTTACAATTTGCTATAGATGAGTGACGTTACAAGCACAATTTAAGTGCTACAACATGTTATATATATATTGAGTGTGATTATGTGTGGTTAATAATTTTCAAACCTGACTTGGATAAACATTACATTAGCATTCATACGTGAAATGAAAAGATGATTAGGGCCACAACTTAACCAAGGCCTTAAAAATAATTCTTCTGAGATAAACGTATGACATTGGCTGGTTCATCACAGCATTCCAACTCTCAAAGTCAACCCGGTTATAATAATATGAACGTTTTTCTCTTAAATTCTGCCATTTTCTGTTGTCTTTTCAGGGCCTTTCTTCCCAATATTGTTTTGGCAGCTCGACTATGGCAAGCGTGTTTTATTTCCCCCTGTGGCACTTGGTACCCTACGCACACCACATGATGTGCATGTACATTGTGCGTTGTCCTAGTTCTCAATCACCCGATTGTGGTACCAGTAGACCTCATCAGCCAAGCGTCATCTGGTTCAATTGCTTTCAAGAGAAGAGAGACATTTCTATTGCCAATAATGATAACACTTATCATCTCACACCAAAACAAACTAGGTTGGTAAATTGCAATGCAGGTAAGAGATGAAATAAGTCTTTTAATTCTGAGGTGAAATGTCCCATTACATTTCACTTCTGGATATCTCGCTGCCCTTCTAGGGTTTTAAGTTCTGGCCGAGCTTCCCTCCTTGACCAAAACAATCCAGCACACCGTCTGCAGTCTGATGATACAACATATATAATGCTATTTAATTTTTCCAAGCAAAACAATTCTGTCTTAGAATATGCTTAGTAGCATTTCTTTTGTTCCACAGAATCTGAACCTGACGTCTCCAAATCGAAAACTTATTAGCCACAAGCACACAGCCACAGTTTTATCAACTGGTTATCACAGGTAAAGTAGCGCTCAGAGTACTAGGTGCAGTTGATTTGTCTTTTGGAGATAATGTTTCCATTTTGTTTTAATAGTGTCATAATAGGGGCTTCCACACAAAGTTCTACTTTCTAGTTCCGCTAGAGCAGGGGTCTCAAACTCGCGGCCCGCGGGCCAATTGCGGCCCTCGGGACGATATTTTGTGGCCCCATCCTTAATATGAAAGTGTAATGTTAGTGCGGCCCGCAAGTTTTATACTGTAACCCCACTGTCAGCTGCTGTGTGGGACATGTTATGATGTTCTGGTTTCCTACTGTGTGCTTGTTCAGTGAACGTGGCATGCATGTGACTGACATGGGGGGCGGGTCGTGTGTGTCGGCCGAGGTGCAGAGAGCACGAGGGTGAAATTCAGTTTCCTGCCCTCTTTCGCGCAGGTGATCATGTGACTAACCGTTAGCATCGCTCGTTTAATAAAGTTTTCCTTTACGACTCACACTAACAACACATGAAGCATCTGACGTCACCGACGAGCGTCTCCGTCCATTACTACGCAGCTTCGATTCACGTAACTTCACGTTTGGCTATAAAGGAATTCCACGGTCACATGACCTTAGGTCTCCCCCGCTGAGTTAAAGGAGGACTAGTGTTGTAGTCTCATTCGGACCGATCCCCCAGGGTGGGGTTCAATGACTGCTTTTGAAAGTGAGTGTTAAGTTGTGTTATTGTCGACCATGCCGTTCGGACGCTAGTCTGGCCCGCGTTCGGTTGAAGTGGGCTGCATCTGGCCCGCAGCTGATTTGAGTTTGAGACCCCTGCGCTAGAGCAATCTTAGTTCTTAACAGAAATGTCTCAACAGTTGTATTAGATAAAGTTAACCAACCAGCGAAGAGATTCAATCAGAACAATTAACGCCTCGATTGCACTTTTAAACTCAGTAACAGACGGTGACAAATAGAAACAATTTATTGAATGTTCCACAGAGTCGGCTAATTGTTCTTGTTGTCTTTTTGTCAGGTAAGTACATGAAAATGAATCTAAATGGGTTCATCATGGCTACAGTTAAGATGTGAGATGTTCTAAAGAATAATGTGTTATCTCAAAATGGTTCCTAATATCTTCAAACCGGATCCAAATGTGTGTGATTTCGGGAAATACGGTAAAATGGGATACTCACAGTAGGTTTTTAAGAAACCTTCAAAAGGAGGAACTCTGTGACCAGAGTCTGTCACCAGCATCTTGTCGAATCTAGAATATTTCATGCCGTTCCTAACAGAAAAAGGAATCGTATCTTGGGCACAAGATGTACTTACTGAAATTGACTTTGAGTGCAGATGAATCGATGCTGATTATTATAACCGATGAACGTGATGCTCAAGTTACATCGTTCTGAAAGTCCCTCCTTCACATGAACAACTATTTGTTAAGACACACACCGGTAATTAGAACAAAAACACACTTCTACCGACTTTACCTGGACTAGTTAGCACTTTATTAGCACTTGCAATGGCCCTTAACTTTGCACGTTTGTAATTTGCCATCCTTGAAGAAATTGTGCTCGCTTGATTTTTGTTGTTCAGGTTTTATATCCTCTTGTCGCTTTGGACAAAAGCGTCGGCTAAATAAAAAAATGTAAATGTAATAATGTCTTTGAACGGAAAGTATCGAAAGAACGCCTCGAACAAACCGTTAAATCAAGAACATTCTAGCGGAAGATCAGCCACGCCGAGGTCAATGAGACGTCAAAACACAAGTCTAAAGAAAGGGATTTAAAAAACACACACACACAAAGGACACATGCGATGGGAACAGGCTGTTTAATTGGGAAGCACAGCTGCACTTGAAAAATCTCATTGTCCAGCAGTCGACAAAAAAAAAGAACAGATTTTCAACAGGGAAGGGTTGTCTTATTGTCCTTTTTCCTCCATCTATTTCTCTCACCTTCTTTTCCTTCCAAATCTGACGTTACAGGGAGCTTGTAAAAAGAATCAGAACTAATTCAAAATGCCCAAGAGTCTTAATGGGCAACTTGATGGCTATAAAAAATGTTCCATCTTTCTTCTTGTCTGTCCACACCTACGCAAAAATGGCTGCATGTACAGCAAGTGAATATTGCATGTAGCCGCTCAGAGAGCCTGTGTTTTTTACAGGGCAGTCTGGTGTGTGTGTTAACAGACCGCTTTTGAAGCCTCACTGTGCTCTATTACAGCACAGTATGCATGAAGCCAAACAAACACCCCGGGAATAGGTGAAGCAAACAGGAGCTCAGTGCCCTGCGACCATTTAAATCACAACACGGGCTCTGTGCTGTGTGTATGTGTGTGTGTACGTGTGAAGGAATGGGCTACTGGAGGTTAGCACACAATAATTCCAACAACTCGATTAAGCGGGAAAAAACGTGTGTGTTTTAGTGTAATCACAGGAGAATGTAGGTGAGTAAATGGATCGCAGGCAAAATTGCATTCATGACTTAAATAGCATCTATTTTTCTACGTTTGGCAGACGTGCTGCGGCCAGTGATTCATCATCCTCCTGCAGCCGACGAGATGAGACTCTGTCCGTCAGCTCCATTGTGTCGGGATAACACCCTGATAATTATCTGCACGGCTGCTCTCCTCTTCTCTTCACGCCTCACGTCTGAGTGGGAAAGACAAAGAGCAAGTTTGTAAAAGGGCCTGAAAACTTAGTTAGGTGGTAAGGACGTGGAAAGAGAAGGCGACAGTCGGGGGGAGGGGGGGGGGGGGGTTAGGGGAGGGGCAGGCAGTCGAGCAGACAGAGGAAAAGAGAGGAAGGAGAAATGATGATGATGAGTGTGGATAGGCAGGGCGAATTGAATCTTTTAATCTCCCAAAGTGGGAAGAAAGCGACCCGAGGCATTTGTGATTGGATTTACTTTAAGTCCACAAGTAGGTCAATAGAGCTAGCGTTGCTCATTAGCAAAGAGGGAGGAGAGGCGTTGGGAGGAGAGCAAGGAAAAAGTTTTGTGTCGATACAGTGAGCATCATTCATTCGCCCTTTTCTCCTCAGAAGGGGGGGGGTGAAGTTTGGCTGTGTGGCTTTTTGTTTTTGTCAGTCTGAAAAGGGTACTTGAGAAGAAGGCAGCAACTATAATATAAGTCTTGCAAAAGGGCATTTACAGTTAATATCAATCAAGATTCTGATTTCTGAAACCGAGAGGCCTTGATCAGCCAAATGAAAGCGACCTGAGGTCAGCAAAGCAGAAAATACATGAGGCTGCATTTGAAATTCTCAAAATGAGAATGGCTGCGTGGCGTACGGATGAAAGCATCTGGTTTTGGCATTTGGCTGGATAATAAAGTATAATAATAGTAATAATAAGTGCTAAAAGCTTTGTGTAATTCATCTTTCCCAGATTTCCTTCTGCACAATTAGATCCTGTTACTAAAGCATAATTAGCAACAGGATGCCAAAGGCAATTGGAGAGAGGAAGAAACAAGGTGGCAGAGCTGCGGGAATCAATGAGAAGAAACTAAAAGGTTAAGTTGAGTGGGGCACAGTTTGTATGGAAATGTATGGTATAAATGCCAGGCACAACAAATTTTTATAAAACATTAGTTGTCCCTGGCTGAGCATTACAGGGCTTTATCCAAATATTATTCTAATATCATCTTTTAGCTGTTTACAATATGAAGTTAAAAACTCAAAGCCTCAAAGCCACGAATGGATGACTAAAGCTGCCAAACAAACCCGATCTTGTGCCCTAGAAAGCGAAACCCAAACACTTCCCTTTGGTTTATTAAAAGGAGTAGGACAATTGGTTGCCATGCCACATTGCATTCCGGGTATTTTGGAGGCTAATTTGGCATTAATCACTGGCCACTCTCCAAACAACACGCCCACCAACACTGACACATTTAACCAACAAGATGTTGCGCATTAACGAGTGATCTTTTACCTTCTGGCCAGAGCTTTTCCCCCTGCTTCCAGTCTTTATGGTATACCAAGCTCACCAGCTCCTGGCTTTAGCTTCCCATTCAACTCATGAGTAAGAGTGACATTGATCTTCTCATCTAACTGCGAGCAAGAAGGCAAATCAGACTGTTCGCCAAAATGTTGAAGGAAACCGTGCGAACGTCAACTGAGATGTGTGAATAGTTTTCTACACGTTGTCGCGTTGGCAAAACCAGTGTGTAATTAAACACAGTTAGTAATCAAATGGTTTACTCTGAAGCAAAAAAGAGGTTGTATCAGAGTATTGTTTTTGGTACAAAGCATAAATGTAGAATATAACATTTATTCGTTTGTTTCACGAATGGTTAATAAGTGGATTTAAAGACCGATTTTTCTCATTTCCCTTCTAAAAGATTTTACAATGAATATCAAGCTTGATTTCCCTGTTTAATCGCTTTGTTTACATGTGTTACTTCCATGAAGCAAATTAAATGGCAACATTTACAAGACAATACACAAATAAATGATCCAATGGAAATTAAGCACACACACACTTGCACACTACACGATGCACATCTACACAAAATTCTGCACACACTTTTAAGAACATATCTGTTAATTTACACACACACACAGACACACACACACACACACACACACACAATGTCGAAGGAGCTGATGCTGAAGAAGCAGTGGCGGCCTTTGGGCTGAGGAAAATGATTGATGGAAGAGAGTTGATGACTGTGTTGGGTGGCTACTCCCTCGCTTTCATTCTCCTTCCTACCCCTCCCCATCACTCTCTTTGTCCCCGTGTCTCTCTGTCTCTGTCCATTCCCTCCGTCACCTTTGTGTCCAAGTCTTCCTCATTTTCTCCGGTGATGAGTGATGGAGGGAGGATCTGCCATGCCTCCCCTCGTCCTCCCTGCCGTACATTGTGTCAGCATCTCCTGCTTCCTCCACTGTTTGGACCCTGTTCAATTTTTTTTTTTAAAGAAAAAAACTGTGGGAAAGATGAGGGTGAGGGACACGGGGAGAGCATTTCAGTGATAAGCAAAAAAGGGACAGTGTCTGACTGTCCTTTCTTTTATCTGGAAATCCCCATGTTACCATTTTCTATCTGATTTCCGAAGCCACAATTTGAACCTAAAAATGTTGCATCATGAACAGAAACCGAGCCAAAGCCTCAGTGGTGACGTCACGTCAAAGAACACTGACGCTCTGGACGCACCAGAAAGTAACAACACCATTAAAACATTTCAGATGGTTATTAGGATTAGCAGTGAGAAATTGAATGTTGATAACATAATGGGTAATGGAACCGTCGCTTATTCTTATTAGCAAACAGTTGCTAATTTTAAAATAAAGACTCTACTGGCAGAAGCGTGGAGGGAATGAGGGAGGAAAAAAAACATATCAAGGGAGATTAAAGGAAGGAAACCCAGGAATATCACAATTTAATTGTAATTTGGGGATTATGACAAATGATGGGCACTTCAACCAAAGTCCAAAGTCAAACCTGCCCGCGTCCACGTAAGGCCTGACATTTTATACAGACCCAGGAGAGGGTTGTAGAGCTGTGCAGCTTCTCTGAGAGCACAAAACCTCTCTCATTTCCTGAAAGCGCCTAGAAATCTGAGACAGCACAGATAACAAAAGTAGTCTTTTCAAAAACAGGATTTTAATAGAGGGTTTGGTCCTGTTTCTTAGAAGCACACTTTTTTGTGAATAACATTTATTTATTTATATATATATATATATATATATATATATATATATATATATAAAGATTTCACCGGCTAGTGTTGAGGATGGTTTCTTTAGTACATCCAGAGCGCCCCCATGAGGTAACAAGCCAGACCCGCTGACAGTCCAGAGGGATGAGCATCACTTCTGGGGGGGGGACCTGCAGCAGTGCACTGGAGTAGATTAAGAGGGGAAATAATTTATAAATTTCTGTTCAATTATTTATTGAGCAATTCCTTCCAGTGTTTACTCAGGGGTTATTAAATATTATGCTGCTAAGCTACTCAGAAGACAGAATCGTCAGAGGACATCCCGGGATACTTTTAAGTCTAGCGTCCACAGAACTCAGAGCTTCTAGAACCAGCTCACAAAATGCAATAAAGAAGCGGCGGCTCAATCAATTTTCTCACCATTGCACTTTTTTCCTCTTTTCTATTTCATTTGTGTTCCGCAAGGAAAAATTGCAGTATCTGGCCGAACACCATGTGGGCAACTGAACTGTGGTGTGTGTGTGTGTGTGTGTGTGTGTGTGTGTGTGTGTGTTATGTGTGCATAAACAGACACCTGTGTAAGCGCGTCCGAGAGGTAATGGAATAACTGCGACTCAACTAATCCGATCTGTCTCCCTCCATCTCTCCCGCTCTCTGTTGCACTCCCTCAGTGCATTGAGAGACAGACCTCTGTCTGCTGGCTCGGAGACCGCCAATAGTCCGTCCAGATAGTCGCAGCAGGCTTAGCCAGGGACATGAAATGTAGCCTTGGATTTTGTCCTTCTTGGCTCCCAGAAATCACCTAATAGGTTTTGGTAAGAGCGGGTGAGACAGAGAGAGAGAGAGAAAGGTAGGCAGTACCTTTAGCCCGACAGTAAATGAACACTACGCGGCTAAAGCTAAATCATCCTGGCTGACACTGATAACGCACACAGACATGTCCTCACATATTCATCCTACTTATGTCTCCTAGAAATAGCCAAACGCACGCACACATATACTGCAAAAAAAAGAGAGAGAAAATTAAAAGTAAACACTTTGAATTCACATAGAGAAAAGCTCACAGAGAAGTGTGTGTTTGAAATGTCTTCAGCACTCATACTGCTTGTTTCCCCTTGTAGGGATTCATTACATCTGCTATATTCCCTCTCGAGGAAGTCCAAAAAAAGCCGAGGGGTGTGCGTGCGTGCATGCGTGCGCGTGTGTGTGTGCATGGGCGTCCTTTTGCTTAGGGTGGCTCACTTTACCAAAAGAGAAATGGGAAAGAAAGAGAAGGACCATGGCTATCATCCCTCTTCAATCTCAGCCACACTCACAGGTTGTCTTGCTTCTCTTCCCTCACTTCACTGTGCTTTGGCTAATGTGTGTGTGTGTGTGTGTGTGTGTGTGTGTGTGTGTGTGTGTGTGATCACAAAGTAGAAAAAGACCATTTAAAGGCAGTCAGAATAAAGAGGAATGTGGCATCTGCTTGATAGTTCTAATAATCAAAGCCAGAGACACATGCATGTGTCTTTGTTTTTTGTGTGTGTGAGGGTTTTTTTCTAAGAAAGCCACACGTAGATGCGCACACACACACACACTCAGTCCAATGTCGAAGTCTGGTGGTCTCACAAATTTCGACGGAGCAACACTGACCCCTATTGAATGAAGCCATTTATGGAATGCATTGTAGAACCATAATGCTGCAAATCACAGTATTTAATGTGAAATCATTGAAAGCCTGGGCTCAAAGGATAATGGGGTTTCAACAACACAGTTAGTTTGTAACAAGGACACTTCACTTTCTTGCTTTCTATCTAATCGGGTTTATAAGTGATCCCAGATACTAGTGTGTATTGCTGACTCTGAGCAATAACAATTAGAAAGGGTTTTGATGAATAAATGCAAATTATTCTCTTCGAAGATTGCTCCTCCTTGATGTTTGCTTGTTATTCGCAACCTGTCACATGGAGCGTTTATCTCGTTTGGCTTCAGCGGCATACAGTTTTAATAACCTCTGTCGTTGGCTGGCTCTCATTGTCCAGGAGTGTGAGGTGGTGAATCCCAGGCACAGCGCTGAGGGAGCACAGACGTAGGGATTCAGCGTTAAACCTCAGCTGAATCTCTAATGTCAGCAGGTGTTTGATTTGTGGCTCAGTGTGTCTGCAAGTTTGCTAAAATACCAATAACTGTACATGGTGCCGAACCTAAAATCTTTGTTTCATAATATATATAATGTATATAGTAAAATCCTGTATGGAATACTGAAAATTACCCCTGCTGACTTGATCATGAGGTTGACATCTTTTGACATCGTTCCACTTTCTAGTCCAAATACCAATACAATTTAATTTCATGACCAAATTCTCCCAATACAAATTAAATTCCACTGTATTTGATTTTAAATTAATAAAAACTCTAAATAAGAAATGTAAATACACATAAAAACACTGTGCCAAGAGATACAAACTTAATCACTGGAAAAAAAAGCTAATTAAATCGACTCCCGAAAAGTGTAACTATATTATTTTAACTGTGTCCATTATAAATGTAGACACACAAGTAGCATATCCAGCAGTTTGACAGGGAGACAGTGAAAGTCAAAAACGCTGCTTGACGGTAGTGGCGACAGGAGCCGTTGTCTTTTGGGAATGTGGGTGGGTACGAGCCTCCGGCTAACGGAGGGATATGACAAGTCAGAGCAGCAATTTTCAATGTTCCGGATCCCCGTATTGCTGTCGCCACCAGCACACACAGCCAGTGTGCTTCTACGTTGCTATGACAATAAAGGCATCGATTCACCACCAGCAACAATTGTTTACACAGAAGAGCAGAACTAAGACAAGGTTGCAAACCGGCAAACTGTCTGAACCTACATTTTACTTTATTCCTTATTAAATTGTCAAACATATTCAAGGACAAAATCAAATCGGATTACTACTGAGAGAAAACACTGCAGCCCTTCAGATTAATTTCTAAGGCCTTGTTAACAAGGATCCTGGCTGACCCTCTGCTGCTCAGTTCCATGCCCAAAAGAACTTTAGGGAGTAGTGTACAATGAATCGCACTTCCAAAGCATTTTAAATTACCGGAACAATGTATTCTCAGTCATGAGTAGAGTAAAAAATACTTACCACCAAAGGTGGTGGTTTTCTGTTACTCTGTCTGTCCAAGTGCAAGTGCACTTGACGGGTTATGTGATTTCTGAAGCTTTTACCAGACTTGAAGGACAAACCAGCGTCAAACTGTGAGACTGGCAGGGGAAAGATTCCAGTACAGCTATTATTAAACACACACAGACACACACTCACACACAGTGTTGAAACTGACAAACAGTGTGAACCCTGCTGGTATCCTAAATCCTGACTCTCTTTCCCCTTAACTCTCTTTTTCTCTCTGTCTACACACACACACACACACACACACACACACACACACACACACACACACACATTACACAAGTAATTGATTCTACATAAACAACTCCCAAAGTCAAGTGCCTGCTCTCAGTTTCTGTTCAATGCATATAGAATAAGAGAGCCTACAGTATTTGTGTCAAGGGAGCATATTCACAATTTTATCTGAATGGAAATAAATGTTTTTAGCTGAGGATGTCCTCTCGAAACCTATTCAGCAGCATTCATCAAACAATCAAAAGATTGCTAAGAGTTGCTAAGAGTGTTGGAATCAACCGGGTCCAACTGACTTTGCGAACAAGGTTATCTCCCACACAAAAGCTTCATTGCTGTGTGGATGGATACCAATAATTAGTTTATTCTTTAAGCGGTGATACTATTAAAGGAAAATGACTCTAAAGAATGTAGAATATAAAAGCTGTTTGACCTAAAGAGCGGTCCGGTGTTAAGTGTTACATAGCAGATTGAAAAGAGAAAAGAAGAGCTTAGAGTAAGGTGTTATGTCAGGAAAATAGGTTTGCAATGTTTGAAACCAAGTAAATATTAGTGTAACACATACATGAGATTATTATTTTGCGGTATTGAAGGTGTGCAATAACAGCATTTTAAAAAATCATGTTTTCCTGGTCAAGTGTTTAGTGCTTATAAGAGTACCAATCTGTTTTTGGACCAGGATTACATTCTGCTTTATAAACCACTGTGAGTATCAAGTATCAAAAAGGGTTATGCACCAAGTTGAATCAACTTTGTTTTGAATTTGAAAAAGTAATGATGGAAAAACAAAAACATTTCAATATTTCTGCATAGTCCTTACAAAATAATAGTCTTGAACAACCCCACAGTCCACATTCTTGCTGATATATGAATCCTTGAAAAGTCGGATGAAGTAGAAAGGCTAACTGAGGAGCTCATTTTGGGCCTTGTCCAAATGTTTTGTTGAATACGGACCCTTTTCTTCTCAGGTCAATTGGAGAGTAAACGTCCTTGCTGCACTAACTATTTGTACTCAACAAAGAGACGGTGAAGCGCAAGGACCCTTAGTACATTTAGTTGGCTTACAAAAGAGGGAATAAAAGTTAGAATGAAGACATCATAGTGCAATTTCTTCTGTCGGCGCTGCTTTTCTGAAATACGGAGGTGTTATGAATAACGCACACACGTCTTGCAACATTGGGCATAAATCTTCGACAGTGCAGCCCTTAAGCACTGGACTTAATATTTTAGAGATTTGACACAGAAGATAGAGGAAGAAATTTCTTTTAACGTATCACTTTCAATTCAAGTAGGAAGAGACATTATTTTCCAAGTTCATTCATGCTTTCAACTATTAATTGCCCTGTAAATTTGAAAAATAGGATGTAGGTGTGGTGATGATTCCATCCGATATCAGGAAATTGAGATGGGAATTATCCAACAACTGTAATTATCTCGTCTTCTTGCTCAAAGTACCATTATCACTTGACACGTTATCTCTGCTTCCTTTCTCATCTTCCATTTTTCTCATTTTCCTTTGTCCCTTCCAGCTCCGGCTCCAGCTCTGTAATGAAGGACACAGGATGAAAAACAGTAAACAGTGCTGAGCTTATCATTTTAAACATGTTAAAAAAACGGGGGTTGGGAGGAATCTGAAGCCAGAACCAGTCTTAATAGTAAAGCAATACAGAGGCGCAGACGTCACATGTACTACATTAAGGTCATTCAGGGGCTGTGCTAAATGGGTTAGGGGGTTATCCTTTTTCTTTTTGGTGGAGGGAGAGTAGTGCCTGGGAGCATATTTTCTGACCCCATTTTTCTATTTCATTTCATATCTTGTATTTGTGATGCATCACACTGGGAGAATGTTCACATGTGCAGGGGATATGTTCCGGTGACAATATTGCTTTGCACTTCAACACTGAGCTTTCTGTTCCCGGTTCACGTGTGTATGTGTGTGTGTGTGTGTGTGATAAACGCAGAAGCCCTTTCTTATCCGACATGACTGTCGGCAGGACACGTACCGTACCTTTCAGAAGCTTTATAACGACTTGGTTGGTTAGGGGAAAGATTACTTTGGTTTAAAATAAGGTATTTGTTGAAGTTTGTGAAACACTGTGGATTAAAGTACTTTATCAAAGGTAGGCGTCCGTTCAATATGTTGGCAATTATAAGCATGTGCAGCTATTAAGGGGAGAAGTGAGATAATGTTTCTGAAATGATAAACAGTGTATTTTTCTAATGTTAAGAGTCCAATGTGTAGTTGAACAATGTATCCAACCTTATATTTACTATGCAGATATGTACCACCAACCCCTGACACCCATACACAAGGCGGTATGTACACACTTGGTTGCCATATTCTGTCATCCCCTAACTTCCTCCTTTTCCTGCGACATAATTATTTCATCTGCATTTGAGCTTTGTTACTCAAATGTGAACAAATCTTGTTTTTGGCGTGTTGTAAAACAGCTTAGTTTGAACTAGCTTTTTGACATTGCCAAAAGAAAATCCAAACAGAGCCCCGCAGTACAACGTGTTTCTCTTATTCGTCATAATATAGCATTCTAGTTGTGGTTTATGATTCACTGAAGTGTTCAGAAAGAAAAAGTCAGTACAAAAAACAGGACTCTCACCAAATGTGGAGGGTTGGGAGAAGAGGTAGAATGCAAAATACGGGTTAAGGTTTTTTCTTTTAATTAAGTAACAAACATTTTCAGGAGAAACTTCACATTGGTCCAATAAGAAGAAACAGCGATTCACATGACACATTTTGCAGCTCATGTTTTAGCACTGACATAAGTTCTATGCTGGCTAACACATAGGAGGATGGATATGTGGAGCCTGTGCACTCCAACACTCAACAAACTACCGCTCACCCACTGCAGATTTAGCTAAATGGGAATTTCTCAATTGCTCTTCATAGATATTTTTGAACACAATAATGAAAAGTTATCATCTAAAAAAGAATTGCTTTTATCCACGTTCTCTCGCTGTCTTTTTGAAGAAGTTGAGCCGTTGCTAGCTTTTTCCTCTAATTGAAAATGATCTGTTGTACCAGCTGCACATTGATGCCCTACTAACTACAGATACAACGGAGCAGGAGATACGTAACGAGCACAAACACAGGCTTGGAAACTGAGCGACTAAGTGTGTGTCTACAGACTTTAAGATAACTATATCCTCCATTCAAAACAGTACATTAGCAGCCCAGCAAAAGGACAAAAATGTCATCTGACAATATCTGCTATTGTTGTGATATTTAGGTCTGAGCCTGACACCAAGTGGTGTAAAACGAAATTGTGAGTTAGTTATTTTTAAAGATGCTTAAAAAAAGTTGCTGTAAGTGATTAGGACATAAAATCAGTCAGAATTTAAATTCAGCCATAACTTACAAAATGGTCAGCTGTTATTTGAAGAGACAAATCATACTTTTAATTTTTAATTCCTGAAATTTAATTTAATGTTATGATGTTATGTAATGTTTTAGTCACATGACATGTGCTCTTAACCAGACTTTTGGGAATTACACGGTAGGGTTTATTAAGGAACAACAAGTTGAAGTCATTTTCAAACTATTTTAAGAGGTTCACATCTTGTGACTAGCCTATGAAATAATCAGCATATTTGTTCAGATAATAAATTGTATAAAATAAATATGAATCAGAAAAAGGGGAATAATGTTAATTTGTCTTGTAAAGAAACATCAGTTCTCTTTTTATCCAGTAAAAAGTAGCACAAGGGAAATCAAAAGTAATCTAATTCATTTGTAACATGAAAACACATGGTTAGGGATAAATAATAATTGTACACAAATAGGAAACCAAATGAAGATAAACTGAAAAGCAGTGAAAGATCCTTTTTAAAAGCAGTAGTATGTTAAAGCTACACATTTATAAACTTGCAGTTCCTATAAATATAAGTCATCATAAGTCAGGGCCAATGATACGGTATCTTAGTATTAGTGTTTTTATATATGAGCAAACTAGGATCTTCTCAAAACCTCTGGTGTATTTCATTAAGTATTTTTAAGACGGAGGTAATTTAATGAATTTCTTTCATATAGGTTTTTGAGCGTGACTGAAGAGCAGGTTAATAATAAATAAAGGCCCTGATCAGTTACACAGTAAGTATAGTTGTGCTAAAAAACAGCGCAATTTAGTCGACCGATACGCTGGACTTGAATTCACAGAATATTTACTGACCCAGTGACAATTGACCTATCTCGGCATGACTCACAACACACTGCAGAGGATCACTAAAGAGAGAAGTACACAAGAAGAACATTACAAAAACACTAGCACCTTCATCGACAAGGAACACACCCTCTTAACGCTGGCTCTCCATCATCATACATCCAGGTGGATACTCTGGTGGCGCTTCAGGTTGCATTTCTGGGTGAAGCGTTTGCCACAGGCCGAGCAGCAGTACGGTCTCTCCCCTGTGTGGACCCGTCTGTGAGCCTTGAGGTTGCTCAGCTTGGTGAAGCTGCGACCACAGAGGGAGCAGCAAAAAGGCCGCTCGCCTGTGTGCGTCTGCAGGTGGGCCTTCAGGTTGCTGGGGTGGGGGAAGCACTTCCCGCACACGCCGCAGCGCAGGAGATGCCTGGGTACGGTGCGAGGGTCAGAGTCCGGGAGGAGTAGCGCGTCGCTGCGAAGGGCGTTTGCGGACTGCTGCACTTTGATGCTGACCCAAGGGACACCCGTCCGATTGTGTGCTGCGGCCTGTTTATCGCCCAGGTGAACTCGCTGCAATGAGAGAGATGGTGGAGGAAGCGTTTTAGATGTGGACTGAGTTCTGTTGAGGGGATTTAAGTTTACGGGAGCTATAGACAGTGCTGTGTTAGCACTGTTCGAGTGTGCGTGAGCGGCCTTTTTCGTCGGCCCGTGGAGGTGCTGAACAGCAGCTTGTAATCGGAGACCAGCGGCCACTTTGGAATGCAGCTTCTTAACGTCCTGCACAGATGCTTTGTGGGAAATGCGGTTCTGCTTAAATGCATCTGAACTCCCTCTGTGATGTTTAACCGAGCATGAGAAAGATGCCATCCTGGACATCTTTGTCCTCTTTTTTTTAGGTTCGCTTTCCACACATCCATCCGAATCGACGACCACCTCCTGCTTGATAGTGACACCATACGCATCACTGTTTTGCAGTCTCGACGTCGGGGACGCTGAGGATGAAATCTGATCTGCACGCGAGGAAATCAGAACATCGACATGTGCTGCGACAGAGTTGGACAGCTCTTGTTCAGTTAGCTTTAGAGAACTACTGGTTTTGACTGGATCACAGTGCGGTTCTGATGAAAATCTGTCATTCTGCAGTAAAGCAGCTGTTGTGACAGCCATGCCGGTCCAGCCTCCGTCCACCACTAAAGACGACTCTGTGGCCACGTGAGCTGGCTCCTGGTCTTTGGGAAAAACGTATGTAGCAGGGACCTGCGTGTTTTGTGCAATAACATCCCTCAATAGTTTTTCACGGCTCTCTTGAGCTCGTTCGGGTTGTGCCTCAGTCTTCTCAGGTTCCACTTCATCTAGAAAAACAGATAGGATTGGTAGTAGAAAGTTAGTGAGAAAGTTTTTTTGGTTGCTGCCACAAATATACAGACATAGTAGTTATGCAAACTTGTATGCGTGTTGGTCATGGGGTTTCAATGTGTTAAGAAAATAAGTGACATTTCTTAGTTTCGAATCGTTTGTCATCATTTGTAAGGACACCTTGACGTAAAATGGAGGCTCATTAGGCTTTCGTTTTATTTTTAACTTTGTCAAACATTTTAAAACTACGAATACAGTTTCTTTTCAGTCCCATTTTTATTTATTTTAATAGTAGTAGTACTGATATTCATCAAGTGTTTAAGATATTATCTTATATCATATATAAATATATGTCGTTTAGATGTTCAAACTTGAAAACAATGGCCAGTGCACAATACTCACAATCAAGAGGAGCCCTCCAATGCACAGAAAAACCAGACAGCTTATTTGCATCTTCATCCTTTACATCCACCGCCGGCAACGCATCCTCCTCTTCGGTCTGCAGCACAGAGAACATATCAGAGAATAACATTTGTTTTGTTAGTTGTCTACTCTGAGAGGAATTGTCCTGCCAGAGAGGATGTGCATAACAATGACTTAAACTCCAATCAGACAGTACTGTGACCCACCAGACGCTTCCTCTCAGGACTAAAAGTGCATGTAGGATTGTCTTCCGACTCTGGTATGACTTCCTGTGCGCAGCACATTGACCACCTTTCCATAGAGTCACCTTCTTCTTTGATCACGCAGGCCCTGAAGATATCTGGAAAACAGAGGTACCAAGGTAGTGTAACCCGATACAATGTGCAGTATATTACATGCAGTGTGTGTCAGTATATCTCTCCTTGTACTTACCAGCTGGCTGTTCTGTGGGGCTTCCTTCTGCAGGATCACCACCGCGCAGTGGCACATCACCCTTTGAACACCCAACGCACCTCCCGGTTGTTCTTGCGTCTTTCCCCACTTGGTCACTTAGTTTCGTCTCAGCCCGTCGCAGCTGCATCCTCAGGGACTCCAGCTCCTGGTTCCTGCGCTGCATCTCCTCCAAGAAGCCCTCCTCAACCAACCTCGTGACCTCGTACATGGCGGTCTTTGTTACGGTCTCCATTACATCCGACAGCTGGGTCTGAAAGGTCACGATGAGGGTGTCTAGGTCCGACATGGTGGACTTTCGCGTGTTTGTGAGAAAATCAAGACTCGAATACAACGTCAAAAGTTCTCCTCGGAAAACGCTACCATGTTGTTTATACGCTTTAACGCGACACCATTGGTTAACGTTTACCTCTTGGAGATGAATATTTCAGGCAGTTGATGAACGGATACACTTTGGAAGGATGAGCTAACGATGCACAACGAGCTATTAACTAATACGGATTGTCTTGATGAAAATCATGGTCATCTATTAGGAGGCTAATGGTGCTAGCTCAACGGTAGCATCTGTATGCTATCCAACGGTGAAAGCGTAAAAATGTCAACAAACCGCAACATTAGGAAACAACAGCTCGTGGAAACCATTGTCAAGCCTCAAGTGTTAAACTATTTGTACTTAAACTATAAGCCCATGAGTTTTTTTTAGCTAAAGAAATTCACGAGTAAGTTAATAAGCATTCGACCCGGTTAGCTTTTCAACAACCGCTTGTGTTGCCTCTTGGTTTTGCTCGTGACGTCATTTCCGACGCAGTACGGTGGCCTTATCTGCAGTCTGTGAGGACAGAACGCGTTTTAATAAAGTAAAACCAACTGGCTGCGCCGAGTTGAGCTCATTATTTAAGCTAGAAATGTGTATTTTTTATCTTGCAAAGCTGTCTTGAAATGCTTCACTGAAAGGAGGCACGAACTGAGACTCAAAATGTTTAACTATATTTAAGATGCCCATGATTAAAATGAGGAGCAAGTATTATTTATTATGATTTTTGATACTATATGTATTTATTACTTCCACGTCAAAACCTGGGCCTCTACATTTTTGTATTATGTTTTGAGGAAACTCCCACTTTGTACATGTCAATACAGGGAAACACGGGTGCTGTCAGTAACAATTGTGGCCCTCTGAAGTCCTCACTGGAATGTGAAACACTTAATAGCATGCAACAATATTTCATTTGATTGACTCCTCCTGTGTTTACTCTCCTATGACAGCAAATGGCTGTGAATTAGGCCTCTCTTCAGACGCATTTACCATTTTATTACATTTAGGCAAGGCAATTGTATTTGTATATCATTTTAAAAACAGGCCATTCAAAGTGCTTCACATAAACCCATTAAAAACATCCAAGCATAGCGCAAGAACATTTAAAAAACAGTTAAGAACATAAAAAATAGGATAAAATCTGACTACCAAAACTCTGAAATGCTGAAATGGTCGGATAAAGGCAGCAGCGAAAAAAACGTCTTTAATGTGGCTTTAAAGCAACAGATTCTCTGGGGCTTATTCCAGATGTGTGGAGCAGAAAAACTGATTTCAATTGTTCATCCTTGTTACCAAAAACAATTTAGTCTTATCATTACCATTTCATTTAATCTTACTGGCCAAATAGTAAAAGTTAGGTTTTGAACCATGCACAACATTTGGTATCAGGCAGAACAAAATGACCGCAGACCAACTAAAGGAAGACAAAAAATACACATTTGTAGAAATGGAGGACAAAATCCCATAACCATTGGAGAAAAATGCAGCTACACTGATAGACCCCAGCTATAGAAGTTTAAATCCTGAACCTTTTTTTTTCACACTTTTTTAAACATCAACCACAACTTTTATGTTTTCTAAAATGAGGGCGGGTATAAAGATACTATATCTCTGACACCCGTTAGAGCCACCATTGCCAACTATCTACTGCCTTCGCTCTACTCAGCCATTCAAGCAAAGGGGGGTTTCTAAATAACCCGTTATAAAATCTATCAATAAGAAGAAACTACTCTGTCAGTTGGATGATTCAGTTATTTTTCAGGATTTCCCTTGTTATGTGTCTCCACTGCCACACTCATCATTTACATCAACAGGGTTCAGCACTGGACTGTTTTTTTCTTTTAACTTTGCACAATACACCTTGTCCCTCTCACCTTAAGTCTATGCTCCCCGATTTACAGTAGCATGTAATTTGAGTAAAATTTCTCAAAAGTTTGTTTCAAGAAATGAAAACAAAAGTATTAAGGAAGTGTGTATGATTCTAGAGAGATTGAATGGCAGATATTGAAGAGCTTTTTTTTAACGTCATCCTTTGACATGCTGGGACAGTAAAGGGTGAGCTGAGGGGTATTAAGTTACAAACTGCAAAATCCCTACAAGATACCACAAAATCTTACACACTGCTTTGCTATAAAAATGTAATTCTTAAAAAGACAACAGATATACTTTTTTGAACTTTATTAAAAATGTGAAATGTGCTCACCAAGACAGGGAGAATTGTGTAGCATCTTTTTCTTATATAAATAGAAACAAACAAGAAATGATTTGTTTGAAGAGAAGAAAAGTAACACTGAAGAATAAGGAATTAAAACGTTAAAAGGTTTTTATCCAAAACTCCCCCAAAACGTTCCTAGCTTCATAGATCTGTCATGTGTTTGCGTTGATGCGATTTCAGATGATCCAGGCGCTTGAAGCTGAGTCCACAGACAGTGCAGCAGTATGGTCTTTCCCCCGTGTGGGTACGCTGGTGAACTTTCAATATATCCGCCCTTGTGAAGCTCTTATCACACATAGTGCACCGATGAGGTTTTTCTTGAGTGTGAATTCTCCGGTGCAACTTAAGATTCCAGAGACGACTGAACTTGTTCCCGCATACAGTGCAGCAGTACGGTTTGTCACCTGTTTGGCCACACTTATGTGTCTTTAGGTCAGAGAAAGAAGAGAAACCTTTCCCACAATGGCTGCAGAGGTGAAGCCCCTGCCCCGAATGGATCCTCTGGTGGACTTTGAGGTTGCAGGCTTGCGTGAAAGTCTTTCCGCACTGGGTGCAGGAGTACGGTGGCACTTGTCCGGTGCTCTTATGTGTCTGCTTGTGGGCCTTTAGTGAGGCTGAATCAGGGAACGACATGGAGCACTGGTTACAGTTTTGTCTCCTCCCCCCTCTCCCCGCTGCCGGATGCTGAAGCCTCTCTCCCAGGTTTAAGGTGTCATTGTACGCATCTGACTGTCTATACATGTCCTCCGTGCTGTCTAAAGAAGGGTCACCGCGAATGCCCGGGCCCCTGAAGTTCTCCCTGCCGCCAGGATCGCCAGACACATTTTCAGGGTACAACATACTTGGGTCCTGTAGATACCCTTCTTCATTGATCAATAAACAGCTGAGCTCTCCGCTGACATCAATGTTTGTCCTAGTGGGAGAGCCGGCAGGTGAACCGACCGCAGCCACTCTATTTCGTGAAGCACCTGTTTGATAATCTTGATGCTCGGCTCCTTCTGGTGCTTCCAGATCTCCCTCGTAATGCCCCATGTAGCTAAGATCCTCACCCAGTTGGGATGGTGATCCTTGCAACCCATCCAAGTTATCCATGTCTATCATATGGGAGTCTCCATAGCCAGTCTTGCCAAAGCCGCCCAATTCTTCCATACCATACCTGCTCTGGAAAAGGGGTTGGGATGGGTCACCTGAGTGTTCATCTTGGCCTGAGTTTGGCCTCTGGCCATAGCCAGCTTCCCAATTCAAATTACTCTTTGGGATTTTCTGGTCAATGAAACGTTTACTGGGCCCCGGAAGAGCTGATGCCTCTGTTTCTGGTAAATAAAAGAAGAAAATACTATATAAACACTGAAAATAACAACTTTGGAGCAAGTGTAGAGGAATGTTGCCATCTGGTGTAGGATTTCCCAATATGCCGGTGTAGTCGAAATAACCTAATTACTCAGGTTATGTGTTTGGTAATTACCAGGATATTAATATGCTTGAAAGTAGCTTTGCTGAATATGTGTGTACATACTATGAGACCAACCATCCAAATTGACTCCCCATCTCTCTTGGGACTCAGTTTCTGGTGTGATCTGAAGAGCTTCCTCCTTGGGCAGCCTATTCAGCTTGCCACCCTGTACACCTGGAGACTGGGAGAGAAGTAAAACAACATTTATACAGGAGGCTTTAACTCTAATCACCAGAAAAACCATACGGTCAGCATTACAGGCAGGACTCTTTGAGGGGTCTCAGTAGTTTCAGGGGTCTTCAACAGGGGGTCCACGAAGGTACTACCGGGAGGGGTCGCGAAATCTTTGGTTGAAAAGACCATTTTTTCCGCACAAATTTAAATTCTTAAGAATCAGAATTGTATTTATGGTCTTTAAATACACATTAACATGAATCCAACATATGGTAGCGAACGGATAAATTGATTGAGAAGACGTTATCCTTCCTCTCTCAAGCTGGGCACTGGTTCATTCACAGCCCCTTTCATGTAAATACGACAGCACAGGCACCAGCCAATCACATCGCGTGGATGCTCACGTCTAAAGAACGCAAAGCTCAGAAATAAAAGATGGCCGACCAAACTCTGTGGAATAGGGGGTCCCTGCTCCATCTCGCCATCCGTTTGGGGGACCATGGCCTGAAAAACGTTGAAGACCTCTGATTTAAGCCAAAAGAGTGTAGTAAACTGCCCTCTACCTGTGATGCCATCATGGCCCTGTGGGCCTCTGGTCTTGTCTCTTCCGCTGCACGACAAGGCGCCCCCCCGTCGGTGCTTTGGGAGTCATTCACCTCTTGCAACACGCTCTCCTGTTTAAGACTTTTCTCTGTGGCAGATGAAAGAAATAAAATGCAAAATCAGAGGAAACTTGAGAAGCACATTTTTGGTGAGTTTCTCACAAAGCAGTAACCCTCACAGTTTCAAAAATATTTATTGGCTTCACTTTTAAAGCTTTTCCAGGGCACATTTGTATACATTATGTAGTTTGAGAAAAAAATATTTTCTTTCACCTATGATTTTCAAAAATGTTACCCTCATGCTTATGCAGGTCATTACGCTTCGGACTTACCTGTCGCGATGGGATTGTCCTCATCGGACACCCCTACTCTTCCACAGTCGAGACATGTCCCCCTCCGGTCTCCCTCTCGGTCTTTACGGCGACTCTCCGACCACTTTAGTCGCCTCTTCAGGGACTCAACCTGCTCCCTGCACCTCGTCACCTCTTCCAAAAAACTGTCCTCCACCAGCCGCGTGATCTCATACATGGCAGCTTTGAAGACCGTTTCCATCACGCCAGAGAGTTGAGATTGAAACGTTACTATTGTTTCGGCCATTATGGCAAAGACGTTTAAATCGAATTAACGTGGAAACACAAATGACTTCCGACTGGATGAGACTGGGCAGAGGATGAGCAGCGCTAACGGCGGTCTCTTAAAGTGGGGTCGTTCACGTAGTTTTCAGTGCAGGTAGCGATAAAACAGTCTTGCGCGTATGTTGGTCGGTCCACATTTATCGTTGGTTTACTTCCACCAAGCAAAACCCAATGTTGCGAGTGGCTTGAAATGTCAGCATTATCGTTAGCTAACTAGCTTACCGCACTAGTTAAGAATCAGAGTTAAAGCTTGGTTCCAACTCCTGCGATAAGCCATCATCGGAAACACAACACAATCACCGTTAAGCTTCATATAATGTATCTTTAGTGAAAGTTAGTTTTGGCAGCCAATGAACAATTGGAATTCTTAGCTGTAGTTGTAACGTGCGAAATGCCGTTGGGCGGTCGCTTCCTGTTGATTCCGCGAACCGTAGATACTAACTACGGAAGGTCAATTGGGACAATCTTAAGCGTTTCGGCTGCATGGGTGTCGCGATAAAGACGGCGCTTCCTGATTGAGAATTGTACATATACATGTTAGTGAATATGTTACACTTGTACCGGATTATAGCTATCCGACCAATTGATAGTGATGGCAAAGTGAAGCTTTCTGAACCAGTGAAGCTTTCCAGCCAATTGTATCGGAAAAAGGTTCATTCATTCAATGCATCGCAAACTCTACGATGACCTCTGCTGTTGAAAACTTGTAGTGCAAATGTATCGAATAGCCCACCAGTATATTTTGGCCCAGTCTCTGTGGGTTGAACATGATTATGAAAAGTTGAACCAATAAATCATCTAATAAATACATGGATTCCTATATGAATAAAACTATTGTTTTTCAGGTTTGAATTGTGTCCTTGTTTGTGTATTTCAATTCTCTGTACATTGGAAAGAAGTTTAACAAACACTTATTTATATCTTTCTGCACCTTTGTGCATGTATGTTTGTGATCATACTAGCAGAATAATTAATAGAAGATATATATATATATATATATATATATATATATATATATATATATATATATATATCATGTAAGCAATATAATTTAAAAAATCAGCAAGTGCTTCTTGTGCACTTATGTGAATTGTTTGAATGTGGGAAGTGATTTACAGAGGAAAGGTCAGTGGGGCAGTGATTGTGCTTTTGGGCAGGTTTCTTATGACAGGATATTGAAGTGCTTGTGGACACATCGGATGGGGCATGAAATTATTGTTTTTTATTGAGAAACACAATTTTCTCCACAGAATTGGGGTTGAGTCGGTTTCTTAGATACTATTTCCCCTGCCTTACAAAAAAGGCGCTTACACGACACGATGAGGCAGGAATGCTCAAAAGATTACGTGCTAATACAAATAGATGTGGGTACACATGTTTGTGTTTGATTCAATATTTTAGCGGGTCTTCACTCCGTGGAATGTTTGATTCAGCCAAATATCTGGTGGTCTCCACAATAAAAATAAACATCCATAATTACACAATACAAATGACAGACTTTGTCTGCCTATTACAAACCTTGTTAGAGGAAATCAAATTGAAGTGCTCCCACATCTCGGAGCGACCTCTCTGCCACAGGTTCCATTGTAAATTCGCTCTTTGCTACTACTACTACAACAACACTGACTTTGACTGTATGAAACAGACAAGCCCGAATCCTGTTTCGCGCCCATTTGAATCAATTCGAAGCTGTCACGTGACTGTGCGCCGGAACGAAGCTTCGGACGTCACTGATGACGTCACTGAGCCGGAGCGAAGCTTCGGACGTCACTGATCACGTGATCAGCAGCGAACGAACCGAGCACCGATACAATTGCTTCGCCCTGCACTGGTTCATATTTCGACACAAGCTTCGAAGCAGGAGGGTGGGAGGTAACAACACTACCAATTGATTAAATTATATAGAAAAGCATACAGACTGGATTCAAATTGTCAAATTTGCTTAGGGAGGTTTCTAACTAAGTAAGTGGCCGTCATGATAAGAGCTGTTTGAATTACTTAAATGCCAAGGAAAGGAGGTTCAACGCTCCCTACTTAGCTCCTTTAGCATAGGAACGGAATTATTTCCTTTCCATTTTCGACCCACAGTTCCTTGCAATATGTAAGTAGCGGCGTATCATTCGGCCATTCACGAGAAATAACGACCATGACCGAGAAACGGAGATTATGTAAGTGACCGTAAGCATAAATATTTTTATTGCAACCTTGTTAATAAAGTACTTATGTCGTCTGCATGACACAGCACTGTTAAAAACACGGACGAAGGGATTTATGCGCTGCTTTGCAGTCCCATCTTGGGAGAAATGTTTCTGCAAGCCCACGTCACTAACATGCGTCTCCCGTCGCATCACAAACACGTTGCTTAGCGGACGCAGTCGCTAACAGCTACAGTTTACACCGGATATAACGTCACGCTCACCTCCTTTCTTCCGTCCATATCCGTCACACAAAGCAGGCGCCGCATGTGGCTACAACGGGAAGCAGCCATGTTGAGCCAGCGCATAGATCCACGACTCTAATAACGGTATAGGAGATGCGTCCTTAGTTAAGTGGACTATTAACTTCCCTCGGATGAGCGGTGAACCATACCAAAATGTCGGCGGACGAGTTTCAGACAAAATACTCCTCTGTCATGGAGGTAATGCTCAAGGGTGCAATCGCTGAGACCACGAAACTTTTTGAAACTATGGTGGACGAGTTGAAGGCAGAAATATCTCGAGTGAAGAAGGAGAACGATGACCTCAAAACACGATGTGGCCAATTCGAGAACGCGAGAAACCAACCTTCTGTTCGCACCAGGGAAGCTGATCCGGTTCAAGGGCCCAGCGAAGGCTCTGCTAAACGTGACCGAGCCATTCAATGCGGTGAGTTCTGATATCTGTGGCCGTTGTTCTGAGATAATGTGACGTTGATAATGCTCTTTGCTGTGTTATTGCAAATGCACCGGATATTCTTGACTTATGAAACACACGCACATATCAGCTTCTAACCGTGTCCGTGACGTCAGCTGAGCTTAGCTCAGTCCTTTCTAAAGCGTGGGCTCTAAAATGGGAGGGAAACCATACCATGCTATCTGGGTTAGAGTGCATTACGGCGTGTTCAAACAACAACCATCAGGTTGGGTCAAAACATTTGTATACTGATCCCTTCACAAGCTGAATGAACTTTGTAATCTATATTTATTGAATCTATGACTTCTTGTAATTTGATGTGTTGGGGTTAAGACTGTAACTTCACATCTATTACATGTCAACGGATGTACTTAGAAACCTAATTAAAAACTGACGTTATTTTTATTTGGACATTTATTAATGGAAGAAGAATGCCCAAATTCGGTCAGTTTTGACAGGCTGGATCATACAATAATGCTATTGTTTGTATTAAGATAATGTTACTTCTTTATTTTCCATCTTACGATTATTTACCACAGTGTATGAGTGTGGAAACCAACAAAGAGGCAAATATTCCTTTTGGCTACAACGTGTGACGTTTATTTCCATCTAATAACTTTGGATTTTGAACTTCAAATGTATTTGAGTAACAAGTTGATACATATGTAATCATCATAACAAATACATTGAATAGTAATACAAAATGCAAGTGCAAATATGCATTTAAAAGTAAAGAGTGCAATGAAGTCTTTGCAAGTGACGAGCATGTTCAGGATGTTCTCTGTCCAGAGTCCTTCATCTGAGGCTGCACGAAGGACAAACTCGTGCACAAGCCTTTGCTTAGTACTAAAAGAGAGCTAAAAACACAGAGCTTTAATTATCACGTTGTAGGCTTTAGTAGGATTTTATTATGCTAGAGTAGATCTCTCGTAATTGTGTTGCTATGAAATTATTTTTTTTCTACAATCTTGTGTGAAGTGAAGGTTAACGTTAACTATTCAGATCGAACAAAGAGACAGGCTACAATAATTCACAGATTTACTACACTATTTAACATAATAGCGTTAGCAAGCATCCTCCACGAGACGTTCTGTTCTCCAACACGTAAGTGTAAACCTTACAATAAGCTAACAAGACTAGCTTTAATTTAGTTAGCTAAACTTACCCATGAGGAGAAGACGTGGTGGCTCCAGCACGTTTTAAATGTCCCGGCTTTGCCGTCATGCTGCTGTGAAACAACGACTGTTTTGGTTTGGTTTGCTGAAGAAATACTCCCAGACCTTTTTGACTCTCCCACGTTCAACTTGACGAACTTCTTCTTTTCCTCAGTGCATGTAGACCAGGGGTCCCCAAACTTTTTCCAGTGAGGGGCACATAACTTTTCCCTTCTCTGATGGGGGGGCAGGGTCAGTTTCTAACAGAAAAAGTGTGACATTCGCAGGGGTCCCTAAATGTAATCATTTATTGTTTTCCAGAAAACATGCTGACACTCCAGCGCACCACACATATCCAAATATTAATAACTCTTTCTGAGATCAAATAACCCTCTCTGGGTTCTTCACAGAAAGAAAGTTATGCTGTGCCATGCACAATCCTAGATAAAAGGTAAACTTCACTTGTCACAGCAGAATCTCAAATGTCTCTCAAAGTTCTTGTGTTCTTTGTAGGTTCCATAGGCTAGCCCAGCAGACACCACTGTAGGCTCCCTCTCATCAACTTCCCTCTGAAAAGCACAAAGCAAGCAGGCTAAGAAACCAAACTAAGTGATACAGCACAATGCATTTCAATACCAGTATGGTTGTGGAGATGGATTTTTATCCCAATAGATTTTATTAGGATTACATTTGTTGATACACAGAATGACTGATATAAGTCAGAAAAGTGAGCTTACCTATGTACTGTGTGTTCATCAGTGTGAACTGTGGGCCTGCACCTGGCTGGAGAGAAGTTGAATGTCCGGTTCCATTCTAGTCACAGCCAGTCTCAAACACTGATGCAAATGTTCATCTGTCAATCTTGATCTCGTTGGAGTTTTCAGGAGTTTCATGCGTGAAAAGGTTTGCTCGCAGATACACGTGCTGCCAAAAAGTGTGGACATCTTCATTGCGTATTGTTTTATGTTAGTGTAGGTGTCATTTCGGAGGGCGGCACAGAAGTCAATGAGACTGTTGGGCTTGAATGCGTCTTTCAAAACATCACAGTTCTGTAACTCGGCCAGCTCAAACTGATACGAAGGCTGGGCTTCATCGATGTCGGCAACATGATTACTTTTTTGTTCAGTTGAAAGAAAAGGCTGTTTGTCTCGTCTGTCAAGAGACGGTGGCGGTATTCAAAGAATACAACCTGCGCCGACATTATGAATCCCGTCACAAAGACTCCTCGCACATCTCAAAGTTTGCGTTAACTCCACGAATAAAAATAAGCGGTGTCCTGCACGTCCGTGCTCTCATCCAGTGCTAATGAAAAAAACTGAAATCTTTAGTCTTCTGCTGCAGCTGGGCATACACATTACCCCAAATTTCTTCAACATGTCGGGTAATTGTACTTGCCGACAGACTCACGGCATTAAAGACATCTTTCTTCTCGGGACAAACCTCCTCCACGACAACATTCAAACATTTCTTGACAAACTCCCCTTCAGTGAAAGATTTACCGCAGCTTGCTATCAGCTGAGCAACACGGAAGCTGGCCCGAACTGATGCTTGGTTCAGCTGAGTTTGCCGTACAAATGTAGTCTGCTGAGCGAACAGTCCAGTTTTTAGCTTAGACATTTTTTCTGCTCGCATGTGGCCGTGCAGGCTAGCATACTTGTCTTTGTGACGGGATTCATAATGTCGGCGCAGGTTGTATTCTTTGAATACCGCCACCGTCTCTTGACAGACGAGACAAACAGCCTTTTCTTTCAACTGAACAAAAAAGTAATCATGTGTCCACTGCGGGTTAAATACCCTGCATTCTGAATCAATTTTTCTCTTACCACACCGTTTTGCCATTATTGTGGCATTAAGTTGCATTCCACAGAGAAAGTTGAGAACAAGCGTGTGTCTCGTTTATTTTTCACAATGGATGAAAAAACAAGATGGCGCAGCCCTGTAATCTCCCTATCAACGGGCTCTACGTCATCAACAACAACAGAACATTTAAAGGGACCGCGATCCGTCGAGCAGTCGTAATTACTTGTATGACACAACCATTTTACCATAACCAGTAGCCTTTTTCCCCTCTCTGTATTGTTCAGGGGGCCGGGTCAAATGTGGAGGCGGGCCGCATGCGGCCCGCGGGCCGTAGTTTGGGGACCCCTGATGTAGACAATAGAAGCGATCGCCCCCAGCACTTCCTGTGGTGTATTGCAATGCTGAATGAAAACACCCCCGAACTGTTACGTTATTGGATGATAAAGTACAGCCCCTCGGACCTTATTGCTCTAATAAAGTACACCCTGTGACTCTCTCTCAACCCATCAGAAGGCTGGATTTTTACTAACCATATTATAGCGGTTAGTAATCGGTTATGGGTATGCTATTGGTCAGATAAAGTATTTAACATTAGAATCCCATATCCAACAATGAGGTATTGGTCAGTGCTGAACAAATCCTTTTTAATCCAACGGTGAGAGTCAAATCAAATCAGTATTTGTAAGGAGAAACAATACACCCCTCTATCGTACGTACCATCTCACTTCATTTTTTAAAATGAAGTGGTGAATGCATGTTTTTATCTTGTTTGTAGGTAATCTGTATGTCACTAGTTTTTGTGTGCTTCTTTACAGACCTTCTACCGGTTCGCACAATGCTGGTTGAGCAATGTCAACCACTGAGGCCTTCATCACGGCAAAACCATGAGCAACAATGCACCTACGAGAAGATGGAGTACAGTTTGCAGGACCACACCTATGGAGTGGGAACGACTCAAATGGCCTTTATATTTGTCAAACAGGTGTGTGGGTGTGTATAAGCAATCAAACATATTTCCCTATTGTCTATGGGAAATTATAAATTTTTTCCATCCTTGCAGGAGTCCTATGATTCTTCTCAGTTGGTCCTGAAGCAGGAGGAAACTGAGGCCCCGGTCAGTGGGCTAGACTTGAGTGACAAATCAGGTGAGGTGTTAAAGACCTATTTTAACAAAGTTTCTCAGAATTTGAGAAATTGTTACTCAATATTATCACCCTTTCATTCATCTGACTTTTCTCTAACTGCCGTGCCCAGGTTCACCACAAGCCTCTGTTTTTGCAGCTGAGAATGAAGGCATCCTGGAACCCTATTTAGGAAGGGAGAGAGATCTACAAGGAGCCCAAAAGCAATCGTCTGAATTGGGGAATTCACTAGTCCTTTCATTCGCTGAAACAAAAGACAATTTAGAAGATTCTGAGTTCATACAGATGGATCGACTCATAACAACTGAAAAACATCCATTGGTAGTTGCACATCAGCAGTCAGAGGTTGCAACACTCGAAAAAGAGCAACCATCTGGGAAATCCCAACAAAGTGACAGAGAGGGCAAAGTGTCAGTAGGTGAACCGGCTGGTGTTTCTCAGCAACATTGTGTAGGTGGGAAATCTACAGAAGAACAACTGTCACTGCCTACGTCGCTCAATACAGGAGAAACATGTGAACAATTAAAAAGTGGTGTGGCACAGATTGGGGGTGGTCTCAAACTTGAGTGGGCACAACACAGAAGAGGACGACCATCCAAGAAAGCTAAACTTATGCAGCATCCAGTAAAAGAAATTGGAAATTCGCTCACTGTTTCAGAAACAACTTTAAGTAAAATATGTTTCTCTGAAAAAGAGAAACCATCTGAATCTCAACATAATTCCATGGCAAGTGAAGAAGGGGCAATTAAGCCCCCATTCAATGAAGTTCTATCTGCAAATGAAACCTTAAACCTTTCAAATATTCAGCCCCCGGAACGCTGCACCTCTGTTACCCTTCAGGATGCAATACTATTGGTTGAAGCCATGAATCAGTCAACAGAAAAAGACACATTGACCACCATAATTCAAACGGCAGCACCACCTCAAACCCAGTTTGCACTCTATGCGTGTGCTTTAGAAACCGTGGACGAGATTCCGGCAGAGAAAACCCAATTGGTAAAAAATAAAATTGGTGTCGCTCCTGTGGCATCACATGCCACTAATGAAGCTCAATGCCACATCAACGTGGTAACTGCAAAAGAATCGCACACAGTTACTCCATCCAATACAACCACGCCATCAACTACTGCGGTAAAAAGAAGTGTACCGTCACCGCAGCAGCACCTTCCCTGTCCTCCGGTAACATTTTTGGTACCCAGCAATCATGATCAGGTGGTGTCTTATAAAATAGTTTCCCAGCCAGGATCAGTATCCTCATTAATTTGCCATAAAATAGAGGCACTGTTGCCACCCCAGCTTCCTTCTGTTGTTTCAGTTGTTGCTGCACAGAAAAGTGCTGCACTGCCGCGCTTTACAGCAGAAACCTCCTCAATTTCCTCCGATCCTCAGAAATCTACACAAATTACGTCCAGGAAATTATTCCCTCCTGTCCTTTCACAGTCAACCACCACCTCGACTGACCTGCAGTCAGGGACTACAGCACGTCCAAAAATAAGAATTGTAGGTCAGAAACCGGTGTCAAAGACAATTGTTCAGACATCCAAGCAAGATTCCACGAAATCTGACGCTTTTATGGTTTCCTCGCCGCAGTTCATTCCTTCATCCAAGGACATAAGCATTTTTGTGGACACTCAAACTATTTTAGATAAAGTATCTGCAATATCGTCTAAGAAAAAGTATCAAACTTTGCGCAACTTAGAAATTCCAAAACAAACTGCCCCGGTTTCTGAACTGGTTAATGCAGTTACACAGACCTGTTCCAGTTCAAACCTGTCCGATAAGCTAAAGCCAACCCCAGTGTCTGTTGAAAACAACCTCACTGCAGTGGTCAGACTGACGAGACTGCCATTTCCCATATCGGCCAACGAAGCAGTCTTGGTTTCAAGACTTCATATCGATGGATCTAGTGGAAGTCAATCCGTTTTGAAAGAAAAGACACAAGGGGAACATTCCCCGCCGCCATCTCAGACGCATGGTTTATCCGCCAACGATTGTACCAATTTGAAAGAAACATCTGTTGCTATAATTGCAAATACCTCGCAGATGTCCAAAGAGCCAGATGAAATTCAAGAAACTGCATCATTATCCTTTGAAAACTGCACCTTTTTGGATGAAGACCCAGCTGACAGCAGGCTATCAACAACAATCAAGACTGAACAGTCTGCTGAAAATTGCACAGCAGTTGAATCGGCTTCTTATTCTAATTGGGAGATGATTAGCATTGCAATGCAAGACAGGGCATCATCTAACGGCCCACGCATGGCTGAGAAGGGATCTGTTGCTGTTGTGCATCTGACCCCCATCACCAGCAAGAATATATCTGACCTTCATTTGAAGATGACTAAAGCCCAGTTCCTGACACAGCTGGCAGTGACACCTGCACCGGAAGACCCCAAAAAGGTAAACATTTCTTGGGTGAAAAGCAATATAAGGCTTTTGGGTCTTGACTTTGTTAAACATAAACTCATTTGTTTTGTATAGATATTCAAGGTTAATTTGTCATTATGCTTCTTTTTATAGGTTTCCTCTAATGACTCAGTAAAAGCCGCAGCTGCAGAAACGAGCCCCATTAAAAAGAAGGAATTACAGAAAAAATCCCTTGTGGCCCGACTTCAAAGTCATCTCAAAACTTGCCTGCAAACTAGAAGAACTAAAACTAATTCAGAACCATGCACAGCAACGAAGACCTGCACTGTGTCTCCTAAAAGGTGTGTCATTGAGAATGGAAATCCAAAAAGTAAAGATGGAAAAAGAGACCCTTTTCCCATCTGCCCAAAGGACTCAGGAGCCGTTGAAGATACAATTCCCAAAAAAATTAGATTAACTCCTGTTAATCTAAGGAGATCTGGAGCCTGCGAAGCAGGAATTGGAACCAAGAAGACTGTTGCTGAACCGTCTTTAATCAGTTCTACGACATTTAAGGCTACTAGGAAATCGGCTGCTGTGACTCCCAGGAGGTCTAGTTCAGGTACACATAGTGTACGCCTGACACCAAGAAAATCCACTTCGGTGAGTCGCAGGGAGTCTACAGCAACGGAAAAAAGTGCTAGTCCTAAAAAGTCAAAACCCACTTCAGTAAATCCAAGGAGGTCTAGCTCAATTAAAGAAAGGGAAAGCCCTAAAAAGACTAAATCCATTTCGGTAAGTCCGAGGAGGTCTAGCTCAATTAACAAAATGGAAAGCCCAAAAAAGACAAAATCCACTCTGAGCTCTAAAAATATCAAAAACATTTCTGCGTCTCCAAGGTGGATTCATTCAACGACAGATTGTGCTCGCCCTAAAAGTACCGGCCCGAAACGGTCTATTGATGAATCAACTACTTTCTGCCGTAGGAGATGTACCTTACCGAAAGATGGTTCAAGCAGTAAACCAAATAACAGAGAATCTATTTCCTTCAGTCCTAGTTATAGCATAACTCCAGACCGGTCTAGCAATAAAGACACTAAAAGTGTAACAGGTTCGTCAAGTGTTAGGTGGCCTAAATCGGTTAAAAATGGTGTCAGCCCTAGAAATACGCGGGAAACTGCTACTGCTAAGAAACCCAGATTATTGCTTGATGGTAGTGGTCCAAAACAGAAATTAATGTTTGATGCGGAGGAGTTGGCTAATGTGGCAAAACCCAAGACGGTAGCCAATTTGAAAAATTGTAGTCAGTCAAAATTGCTGAATGGATCAAAAACTGGCCAATTAGCGGAGAGTCGTGCAAGCTGTGAGACGGGGAGAAAATGTACAGCCAAAGTTGTGTGGATCCATCCCAGACCTTCGGTCAGTAAGACTCCTCTGGTGGGGGTGAATAAAGAGCCGTCTTCACCCAGATTGCAGAGTCACATGTTAGTTTACCCCCCGAGTGTTTCTCTCCTCCCCATACCTGTCCGAGGGCCACCGATTGTATCTCCATTACAGCCGTTATCAGTCATTGGTAGGCGACTGCTTAAGAACCAGTGTGGCGAGTGTGGCCGGGTCCTCAGCAGCGCCGCTGCCCTGGAAAGCCATGTCAGTCTCCACGCGGGTCGCCGACCCTTCTCGTGCACGCTGTGTGGGAAGAGGTTCCCAGACTCAGGAGGTCTTAAACGGCATAGCAGGGTGCATCGCAATGGGAGGATCCATATCTGTCATCAGTGCGGGAAGGGCTTTGTCTACAGCTTTGGCCTCACCAAACACCTCCATATGGTGCACAGGAAGATTAAACCTTTCATCTGCCAGATTTGCAACAAAGGTTTCTTTGCAAAACGTGATGTGGAAGCTCACATACGGATTCACACAGGGAGAGAAACCATTCCACTGCACCCTCTGTGAAAAAAAATTTGCTAGGAGGGTGGATCTAAATGTGCATTTAAGGTGGCATAATGGGGAGAAGAGATACTGGTGCCCATTCTGTGGGAAAGGATTTTTAGACTCCCACCACCTGAAAAGGCACAAGTATATCCACACAGGTGAGAAACCATATTCCTGTCCCCACTGTCCCAAGAGCTTCTCACAGTCAGGCATCTGAAAGCATGTCAAAAATGTACATAAAATACGATGGAAAACTACCACCGTTCCAGTGAGAATATGAATGTATTCAGGAAGAGAGATATACGTGTGTAATGTGAGAATACTCGTAAGAATCTGATGTACCTGTCAAAAGTTTGGACACATTTTCTCTATTTTAGTTTTTCTTTTATTTCTTTTGGGCTCTGTAAGCTCATTCCCTGGTATAGAACAGCGGAGACGCGAATGACTATTTCTGACCATGTTGTAACCCCCACCTGGTATGTAAAAAATGTTGCTGTACACGTTTTTATCACTTGGATTTTTAAATATATTTTGATTTGTCAAGTCTACAACTATCATACCTAAAATGGTAGCATACAACTATTATCAAAAAGGCCCCCGCTTCACCCTTTTTTTGTGCTAGGACATTTAAAACACCTGCAACATGCAGTCAATGCATTTAAAGAATAGGCATATGTTGTTTACTTACTTATACATTTTATATATTTATATTTCATTTTTTTTAATGGCATTTCATTTTTTTTTTTTTAAGAAAAAGGGCACCATGGTTACATTTATGTTGTTGCTTTTATCGAACACCTAAAACAAGAATGATTAAGGTTTACGCTGGACATGAAATAAATTTGGCCAATTGGACTGTTTAACGTGCTTAATCCCCAGGAAGCCAATGAATGTAACTGCAGTCGTCATACGGCTTGGAATGAGCACAAAACCTTTACTGAAGTTCATAGGGCTTATTTCGTAGGCATATTTTGGCTTCAGTTGATCTGTTCCCTTTATTTTTCCTTTGTAACAGCTTTAGGGGTAAGCTGTGATGTTAAAAGGTGAGCCAGTCAGCTCTTTTGCTGTCATTATGTCTAATGTTCTGCTGAGACTAATATAATTGTGTTGCTTTGGTAAATCCTGTTTCCGTCTTGTTTTTTCCCAAAGCGCGTACTATGTTTAAACAATTGTTAGATGTCAAACTATTCTGCTTTCTGAACAAGAACAATTTTTTTTTGGGGGGGGGTAAGACCGTAGTGAAGGACAATGCATTGTTGGGGATAACGTTACTGTGAGACAAGTGCAACTAGTTGTTATATTGCTTGGAGTTTATTTCTTCCAAGTCAAAGAGTCTTGCTTAATGATAATTTTCAACACCAGAATGTTTCTTACCAAAGCATCCAGCTTTTTAATGTTTTTATATAGTAACATTTTGTAAAACATAGGTATGCAGTCATGATCTTAGCATTACATGGCCATCACCAAAATGTAGTTTATTCAAAATTATGTTTTTGATAACGTCTGCTGGCTGAAACACAGTAACCTAACTTAACCTCGTCAAAACCTTAAAACAAAGGCAGACACCAGGAAGCACAAACACAGTGGCAGCGAGGCAGGTAAGGTGGGAGGGCCTGCAGAGCGTACAATGGAGTGATAGCACTTGCCCACATTTTCAAATTTATCTACAGCTACAAACTCAACAATCTGTGAACAGCAGGATGCTGTGTAGTTGGCCTGAATGATGGGATCACTCAGCAAGGTGGTTGTGAGGTTTCCACTGCCCTGGCGTAGGGACACGCTCGCTACTCCGGTGCCATTTCCGTCTGAGAGGGTGGCTGTTAGTTTCCACTTGAAAGGCTCACACTGAGACACATCGCGAGGGCAATCATCAGCCATCACACTGACCACCTCACACAAAGGTGGAACAAAATCTGTAACCTGGGCAGAGAAGAAGAAAAACATGTTGTGTAATTTGTCAATTACAGCAAATTTCAATCCGAATGTGGTGGATAATAATACTTTTTGTCAAGAAGTGCATCTGTCTTTGTGACTAAGGCTGCAACAATGAATTGATGAAATTGATTATTGAAAGTGTTTGCAACAAATTTCATTATCAATTCGTTGTGTCGCAGGATTATTCAATCAATGGGTTGCGGAGAAGCGTGCAGAGCAAAAATAAAAAAGAGCCGAGCCGATGAAGATGAAAGAGCAGCCAGCAGCGCCGACAGCTGTTGTGAGTCACATGACGCAGGTCCAAGGTGTGCAAGCATTTCACACTAAATAAACTTAAAAAGTGTGACAATGGCAAAATATGCAAAGTTAACATCAATTGGCAGGGGAGCACCACGTTGTCCCTTTTTGCGGTGAGGAACGTAAGGAGCCTCCAGCAGGCAATAAGCAAGCATTAGCTCGCTAATAACAGCAGTAAACATCAACGTGTTTTTATTTACTCGCCTTTTTTGGACCATTCATTTTTCAATCTGCTGTCTTGTATATACCGTGCTTCGTACCATTTTGGTTATTGTTGACAAATATATTTGTATGTATTGTACTTTTTTATGCTGTCATATACGGTAGTGTAGTGCGCTTGCGCATATATTGTGAGATATACAGTAGTTGATGTTATGCCTGTAAAAGGAGACACAGTGATCCATTAAACCAGCGCGGCTAACTAAGAAGCCTCTAATGCATTTATTTACAAATGCCATTTTAAATTCATCTCATAGCACTTGGTTATTTTTTAGCTGTACTTTGATGTGGTGTATACATTTACTTAACTTGCACTACAGTGATGGTAATCATTTAATGAATAAGCTTCAAGTGAACATGGGGGTGTGGTTTGGAGTGTGTCTGAGTGTGAGAGTAGTACAGAGTTCTGACGTTAAAACAAATCCTGTTCAATTTTCTGATAATATTTCTTTTTTTTTTTATAAACTATTATGTTTAAGACTCCAGCCCCCCCGCGACCCTGTGTGCAGGATAAGCGGTTTGACAATGGATGGATGGATGGATGGATTATGTTTAAGGTACAACCTGTACTTTCTGAAGTATTTTTGCAATGTAAATTTGCCGTTCTGTTTTTCGGCTCAGAAAATAAAGCTTTTTATTGCTGTTTTTTTATCCGATTCATCGATTAATCAAAGAAATAATCGACCGATTATTCGATTATCAAAATAATTGTTAGTTGTAGCCCTATTTGTGACAATGTTTAAATAAAATGTATGAGAGTGGTGTGGGGAGGACTTACAATGGAGTGATAGCACTTGCCCACATTTCCGACTGTATCTACCGCTACAAACTCAACAATCTGTGAGCAGCAGGATGCTGTGTAGTTGGCCTGAATGATGGGATCACTCAGCAAGGTGGTTGTGAGGTTTCCACTGCCCTGGCGTAGGGACACGCTCTCTACTCCGGTGCCATTTCCGTCTGAGAGGGTGGCTGTTAGTTTCCACTTGAAAGGGTCACACTGAGACACGTCGCGAGGGCAATCATCAGCCATCACACTGACCACCTCACACAAAGGTGGAACAAAATCTGTAATCTGGGCAGAGAAGAAGAAAATAAATATATTATGTAATTAGTGAAATGCAGTAAATTTCAATCGACATCTTGTGCATAATAATAATACTTTTTGTGAAGAAGTTCATCAGTTTACGTCTTGCTGACTCAACAAACAACTCATTTCAGGACTCAACCCTGCAGCACTCTATTTACTAGTTTATTTCACTCTTTCCATCAGTATATCCAGGAGGTGTCTGCTTACTTTGGTAACAACAGAGAACCTCAAAACGATGTAGTTGGAGTCAGCACCACTGGACGACTTGGCTTCCAGAGTCACAGTGACATCATTGCCTGATGGTGTTGCGGCAGGTGGTGTGATGGTTACAGAGGAATTAGCATATTGTCCAGTTATCAAGGTGAGACTGTCAAGAGAAGACATGAAAGTACACTTTGTGATTACAGGAGCTTTTACTGTGAATAATCCAGGCATTCAATTTTGATCAAAATTTTTAAAAATGATCCAGCTTTGATCTTCTAACCTTCATCATCTGACGAGTTATTGATTTCAGTAAGTTACAGCAATTGTTGCACCTAGGGCCAACTAATGTGAGCAGGTGTAACACAGCAAACGACTGTGGAAGGAATATTTTGAAACAGCTTCCCCTCACCTGGGTGGCTTGGACATGGGGAAGTTCTTGTCGTTTCTGGCGCTGATGGAGTACTGACCACCAGATCCCTGGGTCATGACACTGAAGGGGAGAGTGAAGGTTTTTCCTGGCTCCATACTTTTGTCTGCCACAGCCTAGTTGTCAAATGGAAGTAAAACAATAAAAAAGGGATATTGTTCTTATATAGCACTAAACAATCTATGTTCACGTGTCTTTAATTAAACAAGAAGCTTCTTGTGTGTGTACACAGAAAGTGAGAAGACCAACCTTGATATTCACTTTGGAGACGGACATCTGGGTGGTAGACTGTCTCTGAAAATCGCTCCCTGACACTTTGTCAGTTCCTTTAAGGCTGACCACAAACTCCCCCTCAGGGACGGCGTCGACAGTCACCAGGACGTCCCCGTTGCCCATGTCAGTGATTGTGCTATTTCTAACAGTCTCAGGACCAGATACAGTTACTAGGGAAACGTCTCCTAAGGTCACTGAGGATGGACCTTTCCTACCAATCACTGAGAGCATCAGAATGGCCGGCTGGCCTGGGTTTCAGAGGGGAGAAGTGGAGGGGAAAGGTGATGACAAAAACAAGGGGAGAAGTCACATTAAGACCGTTTGAGGTAAAAATCGTGCAGTCAATAAAAAATTGTTTTTCTGTGTAGGCTGTAATAACACCTCCATCGCCTTAAAAATGTGTCCATGAATGGTTACCGTATCTTTATAAACACCTCAAAAGGGACCCTCAGGTGTACCTAACGCTCATGCGGACATGAATAAACTAATCTCAATAGGATTTTTAATATTGTCACTTCCAAAGTGTGATCATAATAGCAGTAAAGTAAAACCATAAGCATCAGAGCTTTTTAAGATGAGCTTTCTATTTGCCTGAGCTAAACATTACAAAACGAGAAGTTTGTCACCTATGTTTCCCCACTAGATGGTGGTATTCCTCCAAAAAGAACAGACAGATCACTATGCTAGCAAGTATCCTATAGAAAATCTTACTTACACCATGACATTTATGATTAATTAAATAGTTTCTCTTAACCTGTACAATACAACATGATATGCTGCTGTTGTCAAAGAATCTTATTGCTTAGTAAAATATACCTGCTTGTGGATGACCACTGAGGACTGCGTAACCTGGGTGAGGTCCCCCGAAGCGCTCCACAAAGTCATAGATAAAAGTAATAGTACTTTGACCTGTAAATACAGATAAAACACATTTTTGGTTATCATTATGTGTGAACAAAAACTGTGAATTGATTTGTGTTAAATGTTTTTGACCTATGGGATTCTCCCTTCTAGTAACAATTCATTTAAAAGAATTTGAGGAAATAATTTTATATGTGAAACTTTGTCACCCGAATGTTAGAATTGAATATGAAAATGTTCACGTCTGTTCAGTAAATACAAAAGCTAACAGAGTATCTGACCTGTGACTTTAAGTGTGTATGGTTGGTTGGAAATGATGTTGATCTGCCAGGTCCCTTTCATGCTGTCAGCGTGGAGACGAATTCTCCACAGGTTGCCCACAGTGTTTATGGACCCCAGTTTACCGCTGACCTCATTATGGTTCTGGGTCACACCTGGAAATTTAATGGCATTCATTCATTATTCTTAAATATCTTTTCTCAGCAGAGGAAAAAAAGAAAACCCAATGATTGTCAATGTATTAGGTTTCCTTAAACCAGGGCAAACACCGCAAATTGGAATAGTTTCTTACCTGCCGGGTTGGTCAGCGTGAAAGTAATTGATTGTGCTGTGATGTAGATTGTGATATTTTTCTGAGATTCATCCAACACAAAGGGAAATGTCTCCTGCTTCCCAGGGTTCCTTGCTCGCTGAAGAACTGTCACCTGAGAGAGATGGGGGGGAAAGAAGAGCCTAATGATTTGCACCTTTTTTTATTTACCAACAACCGAACGCTAGATGCTTCAGACAGTACATCATATACAACGAAGTGCACCGTTTTACCAGAGCTGAAGTGGAGGTGTCAAGAATGATATCTGTGGCCTGAGGCAGCTGACTCTTAGACACCTCGATGGCCTGGCCTCCAGAGGCCAAAGCCAGGTTCTTGTAGTCTTCAAAGGAACTAGCACGGAGGGAACGACGGCGCCTACCAGACCTGGTTAGAAAGAATGACACCTGTGGAAATAGTTTTATGTGGAAATTACACACCAAGCATTTCAATATTTTTTTTTAAACTGAATGAACGCACGACGTCTCTGGGTGTCAGTCAGTATTTACCGTTGATTTGGTGCTACTGATTAGAGCCATGATAGTGTCCTTGAGGTAAATGTCTTTGGCAACAGCATCGGTGAAAACGTAGATGTCGGAGGAGTCAGGAGCACCGGTGAGAGCCACCTGGAGAAATACAACAATAAAACTTGTTACTTCTTTTTACCGTAACGCAGTCTTGAAGGGTTCATAGAATATATCTGTAACATCAGCAACATGAAGACTATAGTACCTGAAGTCCTGACAGGCACATCTCAGGGGTATCACCACCTCCATTCGCTCTCAGCAGAGAGATTTCTCTTTTCATTTTATCAGCGTCCGTTGTCCTGATCATAGGTCCAAAATCTAAATATAAAGAATGAAATAAGTGTCAAGCCTTGGGCTCAAAGTATTTTGCCTAAATGTATATTTTTTATATATGACTTTTCATCCTTCAGAACCACGGTCAGTCTGTACAGATTCAAAGTATTACTCCGAGTTTGCAATCATGTTAACTATATACATACATACATACACATTGTATATATATATATATATATATATATATATGGCTAAGCCTTAAATGTACTGTATAACATTCTGTGGCATTACCAAACCACTATAGGGGGTCGGAGACTTCCTATAATATGCATTATCAGTAAGGTAGAAGAGTTCATACCGGGGTCATTGAATGGCACCAGAATGTACTCTGATGGCTCGTCCTGCGTTCCTTTTTTTTTATCAATTATTTCGTAAACAGCCTTCCTGGCCGCCTCGATGTCATCTGACATACTGCCAGTGGTGTCAATAACAAAACAAACGACAGATGAGCGAGCAATCCCCATCATTCTGTAAGAAAGAGAAAGAGAGGTGACAATTAAAGGTCATGTAACCCCAGTGGACAGTGAAATCATTAAGTACAACTTTGAGAGGACGGAGTTCTGAACTTCATACCTCAGGAAGTTATTGTCCCCTGCAGCTAACCGGATGTCCTCCAGCAGCTGGAGGCTGGCGGCTGTTGCTACATTCACTGCAGCGTTGTGGAAGGCCACATTGTCGGCGCGGCGCTCATCTTTGCTGATGCCTCCACGAGGTTCTGCTGTGCTCGTCAGGTCACCTGCACCTCCATGGCTACATTTACCTGGAAAAGGGGCAGAAGGGACCGGCAGTTAAACTGGGGCAGCTACACTGGCTCTGTGCAAAGATAATCCAATAGCACGTATAAAGCATACTAATTAAAATGTCTCATTAATTTCTCATTTGTTTGATTCGTACAGAAATAACATGTGCCCCCCTGCTGCCGCTGTAACTTCCCACTGCAGCTTAATAAACGCCGTGGCGAAGCCGGATATGAATCTGTCTGTGACGGAGGAAGCCCCCCGTCAGCTGGACTGGAGGACTTTCTGGGGAATTTGAATAATTTTGTCGAATTGTTTAGCGCTCAATCCAACTATATAAAGAAAAAGACAATTATTTGGCAGATGGTGTCTTTTATTTTTTTAGGTCATTAAGATGCATGGCTGTTAAAAAGACCTCATTGTAACCTGTTTCGTCATTAGGAATTGAAATATTATTTATTTTTTAGAATGCTTTAATATCTATCTATCTCATATAATATTGACATAATCGGTGGTTGTTCCCCCTGAGGGGAATTGAATTGTGATGCACAAGCTCGAGTGGTAAAAATATTTAAATATGGTTTGGAGACATGTTTTACCTTTGGGCTTGGCAGCTGAGAAGATTCCCATGTAACCTGACGTGAGTTTCTTTTCTTTTAGGATGTTGGGCAGAATGGAATTGGGACACTTTCCACTTGCACAGTCGCTGCAGGTGGCAGTGCTGATATCTACACAAAAGGTAAACAAAATCAACAACAACTAATGCTAACTAAGAACAGCGATAGCATTGCAATTTCAGGGATGTAAACACAGCAGACAATGAGGTTCTTTGTTTAAACATAACATGGCGGGACAAAACAACATACTCTTTGGCCAGTAGATATGCTCCCAAATGGAGCTTTATCTACAAATGTGTGGATAAAGTCTATCTTGTGAAATGTTAGTTAATGATTAATGTGTAGGAGACAGACACACAGACCTGCCAGGTTTTCCAGAGGAAGGTCCGGGCGTATGAGGTTAATGTATGGCTCGGTATATCCCAGCTCCACCCAGTTACTGTGGCTGTAGAAGTCCTGATAGTTAATGGAAAGACACACATTAGCACTTTCATACATAGACAGTTATTTCTTTATTATTTCTCGTTCTGCCTCATTCAACACTTTCTATACACAGCTGATTCTTTCCACCCCTACTACCTGAAGTGTATGAAGGACACGGCCCAGTGTTTCTCTGGCTGCTTGGAAGTTCTCTTCGCGAATGTTCGCCTTAATGGCCACCAGGCCCTCGATGATCAGGCCACGTCCCTCTAGAAAGGCCTCTGAGTTGAAGTGGTGTGGAGCACTGAAAGAGTTTTGGCCAAAGAATAAATGTAAAAGCAAATGATTTTTAAAGCTTAGCAGCACACACTGACCCCATATTTTATTGCTCTGCATAACAGTTGTTTTGTCTGGATTTCTCTCCCACCTGGTGACAAAGTTGCGGTCTACCAGTCCATTCTGGGTGTAGATCTCTTGGAGAGCAGAGTGAAACTTGGCACCAGACACGTCTCCCGTTGCTGTGGGACCTAGACATGCCTGGACCAGCTCCTCAGGAGACGAACCCTGTAGCCAGAGGTCAAAGGCTAGAGGTTACAGTACATAGCTCCATACACGTATATTGTGTGAGCCCTTTTGTTATTGTTTGATTGTTAGCTCCACCCCCCTAAGTGGTGGCACAGGTGTTGGTGGGAAGCTAAATAGTTTTTTGACCGTGAGCATGACAGGGCGAATGTGAAAGAGGCATGTATTAAGATCATTTGATGTCACTAAGGAACAAAATAAATGACAATTAACGAGAAGTGGAGATGTCTCAAGGAGTATTTAAACGTGTCAAAACAAACTCAAAACACCAACCAAGGGGACCTCACTTTGCTAGGCAAAAAGGTTCTCTACATAAAGTAAAAGCTTCATCGAGAACGAGCGGCGGCAGTTTGGAAGTAAGGATTCGCAAAACTGAATGTGAGTCTTGGACAATAGAAGAAGCACACGCTGCTGATTCTGAACTCTTACAGTTGAGTCAGGTAAAACGGACTACTCTGTACGGACTGTGAAATTGACAGAAAAGGAACTTCTGGAACAAATGATACGCCTGCAAAAGGAGAGAAGTTTCAAAGGGCCCACAATCTCAAAAGAGATAATTGTTGATTTGATGGGTGATGTCGCAGAGGTAAAAGGTACATTTGAAAAGTTTACGGTTCTTTGTGGTAAATCAAAAGAAAAGCATGAAGCATTGGTGGAGTTGATACCTAAAGAGGAGGTGGAAAATCATGAAATGTGGTATAAAATAAAAATGCTTAGTGTCAAAGTCTTTGATCTAAACCAGCGATTCTCAACTAGTGGTTCACGGACCTGTTTTTAGTGGGTATCGTTGAATTAACAGCTGGCTGTTTTGTTTTTTCATTAAACTTGTTTTTGTGATTCTGTCTCCATACTAGCTCAGGTTCAAACTGCACCATATTTTCATTAAATAAATTTGAGAAGTTGAGAATGTTCCTCGACTTGGGTCGCGGCTTGTCATTAAGGGGTGATTATGGGTCCCGGAGCCAGACCAGTTGAGAACCACTGATCTAAACAAATGATTAGTCTGCAACAAAAGTTGCTGAAATTGTGGATGTTCATAATGATGTGGTTAATGTGAAACCTCAGGACAGCATTTCAAATGTTTGATCCAATGCATCTGAAAAATTCTCAGATCGAACAAGTAATATCTCTAGGGTCAGCAAAGGTTCGACGTCCTCCACAATCCGCCAAACGGAGGCAGAAAGGGCTGCACTGATGGCCACGTTCTGCAGCGCTACAAAAGAAACACGTTCTGGAGGAGCAGGTGGAGCAATTAAGGAGAAAATGGGAACAACTTGAAATTGACACTGAATTAGCAGCATCTCCAGCAAAGTTAGCAGTGTTTGAAGGCCTTGAAGCATGGCGGTGTTTCAACTACAAATTACGTTAGAATGGAATCATATTTTATAAAGGGAGCAGCACTTAATCCTTACGCTGAACAATACAAACCAATGCAAAAGAAACCGCTTCAGCAAAATTATTCAATGCCTGCTAACGCTCCGGTAAACGTGGAAAAAGCAATGGAAGCGGATGATTATGATACTAAAAAAGCAGCTATTGAGAAAAAGGACAAGTGGCAAGAATTTGATTGAATAAAATTGCAATCAGATCCAAATCTGGTGGTCCGCAACCAGCATCACTCTAAGGTGATCCTCAAGTAAATGGAGATCTCCACACTCTGTTACGAAGACAAAATTAAGTGACAGCGTTTCTTGTACAGACACAGAACTCTCAATTTTTACCACGCAGAGAAATTCCCATTTTTGTTGGCGATCCTTTTACAATTTAGATCATTCATCAGAGCGTTCAACATTGTGTCGAAGCTAAAACAAACCGACTCAATGTGCCAGCAAACATGAAAACAATCATGCAGAAACTTCCGTACAAGAGAAAAGAGAAAAATGGAGAGCAGCTGCATGTGAAATCACTTTACCAAGTTCATTGAGTACTAAGTCAAAATAATTTCTGAGCCTATCTTTGGTGACATCCAGGACACTCAAGATGGTGTAAATAAAGGAGGCATCAAGACTAAATGAAATCCAAGGTTGCAGTCCAAAAGAAATAGCTTTGCAACTGCTGTCAGTATTCTTCTCAATCAGCTGTGAGTGTAACCAAGAAAAACATTGAAACTCAAATGCAAAATATGACACCTACAGTATCAAATGTTTCCTGTTTCTACTGTACGTATGGACACTTAAGTTTGGACTTTCTGGTAGAGAAAGGCGTTTGCTTTGGTTGCTTGCACATAGGAGACATAAGCAAGAGATGCGGTAACCACTTATCTTGCAAAGTTTGCAACCGGAGTTCTTCACATTGATAAAAGGAAAGGAGCAAAGACGAAGATCAGCCAAAGGAACGGTCCGTGAGTGGCACTTTCTGTTCTGAGAGTCTAATGGAGAAACTGAACATCAAAGGAAGGAAAAACTAAGATTGGTGTTGACAAATTGGAAAAACTGTTGATGACACAGTACAACCAAAATCAGTGAGAATTTCTTTAATGACAAAGAGGAGATCTCAGCACAGGAAGGAAGTTAATGGAAATGGTGAAAGGTTCAGTGCAGCTTAAAAAAGACCAGTACAAAATTAGGTTGCCTTTTAGGACCTCCCATGTAACTATGCCAAATAACTTTTCTATTGCTAAACAACGTGTCAGCTCACTGAAAAGGAAAATTCTAAAAGATGAACATTTTCACAAATAATATGCAAACTTCCTTACTGATGTCATTGATAAAGGATCTGCTGAAAAGGTTGGAATGCGTGGGTGGGAGAGTTTGGTATCTCCCTCACGCTGCTCAGTCAGCTTGTGCAAGGACCAAACCTGACAAGCTTACGGTTAGCAGTTTTGACACCGATTAGGCAAGAACCTGTAGCAATCATGACTGATGTGCAATCAACGTTTAAGCAAGTAAAAGTTGGCAAAGAACAACACAGACCAGTGACCAAGATGTGTGAACAGACATGTAAAAATAATATGGTTGTGTGTGTGTGTGTGTGTGTGTGTGTGTGTGTGTGTGTTGCATACAAGTGAAACTTTTATACTATCTATCTGAAACACTCATGCATGCACATATGAAAGTGTTTCACATATATTTGTATAACATATTGAAATAAAGTTCAACGTGAGTGTTCATCGTGTGTCTGTGACTGTGTTTTTAAGTACGAAAACTTCCTCCCTACCGTGGGATTGAACTCATGACCGGCTGCCTCGGCCACCGCCCGGCATGTCTCCGTCACTTTCTGCAGGAGAGCCGTTCCCGTAATGCTGACATGAGTTGGTGACCCGCCGCCGATCGGTACGAAGGCGACCGTGTGTCCGGATAGGACGGTCAGCAGGGCGACGCCCAGCACCGACACCGCGCACATCTACAGGGAGAAGATCATTAGACCCGGCTAGTGACCAGGCCAGCTAAATGACCGTGCAGCGATGTGTTCTAACTTTGGATGCTTATATTTACACATTTTTGTTAAAAGATTATAATCGTATATTTAAAATGCACTTCTGTAAAACAAAGCGAAATGAAAATGCTCTGTGTAACGGATCCACGGTTAATGAGGTGGAAACTTACTGTTGGTGAAATTACTCCTTTACTTTCTTCCTTTGAGTCAAATTTATATTCAATAAACTGGTAAACTATTACACTTTGTTAAAGGGTATAAATGAAACCCGTCCAAAACAACATCTGTAGCCGTATCTGTAGCCAAGTTCACATTCACACATAATACGAATCTGCGATTCCGTTTATCCTTTCAAAATAATGTTCCCTTTTTATCTCTTACAGAGAAAGCAGCACAAAGCCTCTATAAATTCTTCAAACAATATAATATCATCTAGGCTTACATCAGAAAAGCAATAAGGCAAATACAACCCAAAACAATGAACATTCCATGGGCTTATTTACACTCTGAAACCGAGTAATACACGACTTATTTTGTCTCGTCATCCTTCAAAATTATTGTTAATGTAAGGTGGAGGAGAAAACTCATATCAACCGACAAATGCTGATGTTTGGGCGTTTTTGCGTCGGCAGCTTTTCAAATGTTCATTTTTTTTTACACAGAAAATAAGTTATTTAATGTACTGAACTGAATATGACAGGCAGAGTACAAGCAAAGACACAAATTTAGTACATAGTTGAAGAATTTACTGATGCAACCTCTCCCTAACAAACGCCATTGCACTTTTTGTTTTGTCCTTTATTTTCAATTCAATTCATTTTTTCGGGGATTTTGCAAACAGGAAGCAGAAAGCCAATTTATCAATATTTTTTTTAATAATAAAAAAAACTATGGTTCTGTAAGCGACGTGGTTAGATAACTCTTAAAGTTCTATTAAATTCAAAAATAGAAGAAAGGAAAATTATTTTCCCTACAAAAGATATTCCCAATATTATACATTGTAGTGCAAACCCTCTACCTAGAATTATTAAGTTATAATCATAATGAAAATGTTTCGTTTGAAACTTCCAAAATACTTTTTTCCCCTTAACTTTGTCGATTAAATTACCAAAAAGAACTTCAAAAATACAACCTTACCATACTGTCTCTTAGCTGTGATGACTTCAATGACTCCTGAATAAGTGTGTCATGCATTATCAACACAGCTATGTATGTAGTACTTTTTATGATTGAGGGTGGAGATGTAAAACTGGGTGTGTGATCTTTCTTGTGATATCTTTATTGTTCATATAATAATTCCGATTTTACTGCTATGGTTTCCGTCATAAATACCTGTGTGTCTCAAAATTATAAATTGTCCCAAGACCTTGAGGACACTCTATCCTGTAACTGAGTGCAGTGACACAAACTTAAAATAATTCTAAAAAGTCTCCAAGATACCGCCATGCGAAAGTTAAAAAAAAATGGCGAGTTGGCAAGTTGACAAATTATTTTATACATTCTACGGCCTTGTAATTTGAAAGAGGAAGTCTTGAGGGTTCTACTTTGAAGCACAATATTATAAAACGTCTTAAATTCACTAAAGGACCAATGAAATACAGTTAGTCCACCACTTTTATGTCACGCTTATACACAATTTGTTAAGACTCCCAGCATGTTCTCATCTCTTTCTCAGTCCCAGTAGGTCACAAAAATAAATGTAATGCTTTTAGTATGATGATACAGTCATCTGTAGCTGTAGTGTTCATAACAAAAAGCTTAACAGTCTGAGCACTGAATCATAAATCCCACTTATGTTCGAGAAATGACAAGAAGGGTTTTACTGTAGTAAGTCCAAAGGTGTATTACTTCAGAACATTACTGGAAGTTGCGATGGTGCCCTACCTTAGAAATCCTTTAGTTCCTGCCAACACCCTGCCCTGGTCAGAATAAGTTGGAAGAACTACTCTTGTGTTAGAAAAATATGCACTGTAAAATGTAATAGCTGTCCTGACTTACATTAAATTAGTCAACTTTACTTAAAATATCTCTTCTTACTAACTTTTACGAAGTAACAGTTAATTGCAAGTGGAAAAAAATGTTACTGTTATGTTAACTTACAACACTTCAGTAGCAAAAAACGTCTGAGCATGCGCAGAACACAACATTCAGTCAACTTCAGTCTTTTAAAGAATATTAAGCAGTGTGTCGCCTACCATTGTAACAGGGGGCGCCCCCCTCACCTGAAAAAAATGTCCAAATAAAAAAATTATATATTTTTGTTTTGCTACTAATGCTACATTGCTACTTCTGTATATTTAATGAATTTAATGACTCTAGTGCCACTGTGACAGAAAGTCTTTCCCCCACACTGCCATAGATAAAGTCACGTGGACGCGAGTAACCATCGGCTTCATGCAAAGTTAGTGTACTGACGAAGTCCTAAACGAAGTCTAGTACTGGTTGCTAATATGGTGGATTAGTTTTAGACGTGCGCCCGGTGCGCTCGAACACAGCAAAACGGAGTCTTGTGATGTTACAATTATCTTGCATGTTTATTTTACATCCAAATATCATAAAACGGCAAAACTTTAACATGTACCCAAAATAACAAACCGCATTGCTCACCACAAAAACACACGCATACTGGCACAATCGAAAACTGTTTGCTTCCCCAAATTAGTAACACCTGTGTCTGAGATTCCTGCAGATTAAATGGCCTACCTGGGCTGATCCGAGGTCAGCTGAGCCACAAAGCACATACAGCCCCCTAGTGGCACAGAGCAAAATTAAATGAAATAATACCAAATGTATATGGCTCCTACAGTTAGATTCCAGTGGGGCCAGTACTCCATTAAAGCTGCAGTTGCACTTGCACACCGTTCTTTGGCCTCATAATTAGGGTTGCCACCCGTCCCTTAAAATACGGAATCGTCCCGTAGTTTGAGAATAAAAGAGCGCGTCCCGTCTTGAATCAATACGGGACGGGGTTTGTCCGAGTGTTATTCAATGCACAATCCCATGCAAATAATCCCAGCCGGAGTCAGTGAAGACTCGTCCCTTTTGGCCCCTGATTGGGTAACTCGCTGCCACCGTCGATTTGATTGGCCGTCAACCTTAAACAAACCAATCAGCGCCAGAGGAGGGCGAATCTTTTGGCGTAATGTCGATTTGAAAGAATGGCGGAGGCAGCTCCAGATGTGTGGTCATCACCAATCGCTCAAATGCAAATCATCTTGCACACATCTTGCAAGTATCCTGATATGAAGAACTCATGAACAACGGGAAGCGTGATGATCCGAGTGCCCAGAGGGATGGACATCACTGTGCTCCAATGGGGCTCTCCGAGGATTCTAAGCAGGAGCTGCCTCCATCTTAATAACCCATCAAAAATGCTCCTAGAGACTATAAAACATAAGCGCATTTTGTATTAAGCGCCTTCTTTCCTGTTGTTGTTGCCTAAAATAGGTCCGTGCACGTTAAACTGCAAGAAACAATACTCTTGTTGCAAATAAGCTTTGTCATATTGTTTTGATTTAAGTCTCCAGTCTAGTCCTTGTTTTGCTCGCACGACAAATCATAACCTAATGTTTAAATTGAACTTTAACATCTTGTCTGTATCCATTTTTTGTTTCAGAGGGATACAGAGTGATTTCAATAAAGAAGAACCGTCCAAAACAAAATGTACAAATCAAGGCAAAAATATTTTACCTCGAAAATATCATCTGCTGCCATGTGGCAAGTTCAATGCCTATTCCATGAGATGTCCAAACTAATACACTATATTTGTCCATGCACGTTATATATTTTTGCTTCACAGTACTGTATGTGCATTTACAAAAAGACGATAAGTCACCCATAATGCTCAGATTCTCTGCACCAGAAGATTTTTTACAACAAAACTGACACATTGCAAAGACTAGAATAGTATCATAAAAAGTATTTGGTTTGGTTCATAAGAAATATTACCTTTTGGCAAACTTAAGAATGCATTCATGACCTTAGAATTGTAGAACCATCACCAGCTTTACGGTTACTTAAAATAAATCAGACTGTTAAGGCTGACACCAGCAGGCACAACCACAGTGGCAGCGATGCAGGTAAGGTGGGAGGGCCTGCAGAGCGTACAATGGAGTGATAGCACTTGCCCACATTTCCGACTGTATCTACAGCTACAAACTCAACAATCTGTGAGCAGCAGGATGCTGTGTAGTTGGCCTGAATGATGGGATCACTCAGCAAGGTGGTTGTGAGGTTTCCACTGCCCTGGCGTAGGGACACGCTCTCTACTCCGGTGCCATTTCCGTCTGAGAGGGTGGCTGTTAGTTTCCACTTGAAAGGGTCACACTGAGACACGTCGCGAGGGCAATCATCAGCCATCACACTGACCACCTCACACAAAGGCGGAACAAAATCTGTAATCTGGGCAGAGAAGAAGAAAATAAATATATTATGTAATTAGTGAATTGCAGTAAATTTCAATCGACATCTTGTGCATAATAATAATACTTTTTGTGAAGAAGTTCATCAGTTTACGTCTTGCTGATTCAACAAACAACTCATTTCAGGACTCAACCCTGCAGCACTCTATTTACTAGTTTATTTCACTCTTTCCATCAGTATATCCAGGAGGTGTCTGCTTACTTTGGTAACAACAGAGAACCTCAAAACGATGTAGTTGGAGTCAGCACCACTGGACGACTTGGCTTCCAGAGTCACAGTGACATCATTGCCTGATGCTGTTGCGGCAGGTGGTGTGATGGTTACAGAGGAATTAGCATATTGTCCAGTTATCAAGGTGAGACTGTCAAGAGAAGACATGAAAGTACACTTTGTGATTACAGGAGCTTTTACTGTGAATAATCCAGGCATTCAACTTTGATTTAAATTTTTAAAAATAAGGGATAGAGGAAGTTCAAATTAACCAATAAACCAGTTATTGATTTCAGTAAGTTACAGCAATTTTTGGACATATTGGCCACTAATGTAAGCAGGTGTAACAAAGCAAACTACTGCCTGAAACCTCTGTAGGCCTAAACTCAAACAAAGGGCTGGGGTTTCACAAAAATACTCCATTCAGATGTAGATTTGGCCTAAGCTTCAGGCAGAAAGAAATGGGTATATTCAAGGTATATCAGTAACGATAAGGATATTTAACAGAGGAATATTTTGAAACAGCTTCCCCTCACCTGGGTGGCTTGGACATGGGGAAGTTCTTGTCGTTTCTGGCGCTGATGGAGTACTGACCACCAGATCCCTGGGTCATGACACTGAAGGGGAGAGTGAAGGTTTTTCCTGGCTCCATACTTTTGTCTGCCACAGCCTAGTTGTCAAATGGAAGTAAA